GACAGGGCAGGGGAGCGAGTTTCAATTGTTGCTGTCTATTCTGCTGTGTGGAGGCACTCGGGGGTTCATCTTAGTGACAGGAAAGCCCCCTCCCCTCGGGTCATGGCCTCCACTCAGATGGTCTCTTAGCACTTGTCCTTCCAGATGCTTTACTCCAGGCCGTGTCCTGGCCCTTCTGCCCCTGGCCAGACGGCGCCCGCTGCTGTACCACGCCGTTTTTTACAACAGTCAACTTTAGCATTTTTACTATTATGATACTTTCCCTCCAAACTCTTCAATAAAAATTGCTTTTCAAGTTTGTGGCGGGCTCTGCTGGGGCTGGGTGGGGCTCGTGGCCTAGGGAAGCTGGCACTCCAGGCTCAGCAGGAGCCCTTTCCTCACAGCCCAGTGAGTTCAGGGGTGCAAGGACTTGGCTAGAGGCCCAGCGACTGTCCTGAGACTCCAAGGGAAGATGCTGCTGGGCACCAGCATTGTTCCTGCTCCCCTGTACCCAACCCTCTCCCCCAAAGGCTGTCCAGGCTGCCTGCCAGCTCCTGCTGCTGTTTGTCAGGCAGAGCAGCTAGAAAGAGCAGGACTCCCAGAGAGGATGGAGCAGGTTGCAGTGATGACCTGGGCCACAGTGCAAGAAGGCTCCAGGAAGCCCCTAAGAGCAGCCTGATAGAGGACAGAGCCAGGAAAGGCTGCAGGGGGAGGGGCACAGCTAGAGCACCAAGAACCAATGGAGTCCAAGCAGCTGGACCGATATGCTGTTGGTGCCACCTGCTGGACACCTGGCAGAACTGCACCCTCAACAAGGCCAGGAGTGGCTCTTAGGGACAGGCAGGGGCCCACAGGGCCCTGCAGCCTCAGCTTTTTCATGGCTAATGGCCTGGACTCCCTGCAGATGCGCACAAGCAGAGCCCAAGGCTGGTGGGTGTGCAGGGATGGCAGCTGGCCCCTCTCTGAGAAGGGCTGGCTGTTCCACCTTCACTAGGGGTGGGATGGGGGTGACAGTGTGGACCTCTGGTAGTCAAACAGAGCCATGTCTGGAGCAGCCCAAGTTCTCTGGGTGGTCCAGGGTCTGGTTCCACCAGGCTGAGTTTCAAGCCACACCAGTAAGAACTCAGCTACTCTGCGGGAGGACACTGCATCTGGAGGGCCGGGTTGCACATCTGCACATGAGCAGCAACGAAACCAAAGTACAGCAGCCACATGCCACCCTCACACTGTGCAAAACCCAACCACCATGGCTCATGTGATATGGAAAGGGGGCAGCTGCAGCCAGGGCTGCTCCTTCCACAAGAGCCCCTGGGGACACTGCTACTCAGAGTAGGCCTGTTTTGTGTCCCTGTCACAGGCAGGCAAAGCCCTAAAGGAACAAAGGCAGGGATAGAGCCCACTGAGCCCACCTGACCTTCCTTGCCGTCTGTGGCAGAGGAATGGGGGAAGCAGTGTGGGGGGGGTTGCAAGGAGCTGAACGTTTTGGGAAATTCCTAGAAGGCACAGGTGGCCTCACAAGGGGCAGCGCAGACCTAGAGTGCAAGGCAGATGAGAGGGGCAGGGTTATGTGGCCCCACAGGAGGCTGCTGCACAGCAGGGTCCAGCCAGGGAGACTCAGATTCTGCCAGGAGGAAGCAGCTGTCCTCGCTGGGTCCCCTGTGCCCAGCACAAGGCAGGCTCAGAGGGACGGGAAGATAACAGGAGAGGTCTTAGCACCTGGGACTTCCATGTGTCAGCAGGTGTGGCTACCGGCTGGGCCCGCCCTGGTGACAGGATGTGCTGGGCGTGCTAAGGGCTGGGCGTGCACTTCCCTGGGATGCCACCACCATGAAATCTGCCCAACGGCAGATGCTCATCCCACCCTCTGGCAGCACCTCCCACTGCCCTGTCCCCGGCGTCTGCTTTCTGCTGCTGCTAGTCCCACTGCTCAGGGCCTCAAGGCGGGTCGTGCAGTTTCTGTCTGGCTGGCTTTACCAGACGCAGCAGAATTTTTCAGGTTCATGTGTGGCAGCGATATCAGAACTCCCTCATCAGGGCACGGGCTCCTCACTGGATGAAGGCCATACTGAAGGTGTGCAGTACAGGTGTGGCATTTCCTGGGGTCAGTAGGGCTGGACCCTCTGCTGACAGCCACTGGTGACTCTTCTACAGAGAAGGGTCTACTCAACTCCTTTGCCCATGTTCTCGTGTGGCCTTTGCGCTGGGTCTTTGGCATTCTCGCCACATGGCTGGTTGTCCTTCCCAGAGATCTTAAAACAGCCTGGAAGCCTACCGTGTCCACCACCCTGACCGCCAGGCTCTTCACATAGGCCTGCTTTCCCCCTGGTACAATTTCCTCCTGTCTGAAAGCTTCTTTGACATTCCTGTCATTCTTCTACAGCCCCTGCCTGTCTGAAAAGTATTTCTCTTTCATTCTTGTCAAAAATTTTCAATGAGTTTGTCCATTTTGTTGCTAGGGACAAAACCACAGTATGGGTAAGTCACAAAAGAAAGAGGTTCACTAGGCTGGTGGTTCTGGTCCTCGTCAGGCAGCTCTGTGGGGTGGCACAGGGAAGCCTGGGACCCACCCAAGGTGTCTTCAGTGCAGACTGGCTCTCCAGGTCCCCATGGTCTGCTCCTGGGGCACAGCACAGGGGACTTGAGGCTGCCTGAAGCGCGGTCACGGTGCTATCCTACTGTGTTGTCCCACTGTGCCTGCTTGGTCTCCAACGATCCTCTGCTGCTGTTCTCATCTTTATCCTCCCAGCATAGAGTGTCTTTTTTCTCTGGCTGCTGAAGAGTTTCCTTTTCTGTTGGTTTCAGGGAATTGGCTCATGACGTGTGTAGCATTTTCCTCGGGGCCATGTCAGGCTTCTTGCATCAGTGGGTTTATGATTCTGTCAAATGGGGACATTTTATAGCCACTTTTTCCTCTAGCAGCTGTCCACTCCCACCCCAATTCCAGCCCCCAGGCTGCCCCAGGACTCCACTCAGCCAAACCCTGCTCTTCTGAGGCTCTGCAGCGCCCTGCAGGCTCGCAGTCTCTTCCGCGGTGTCCACCCTGCTCCCCACCTGTCGCCTAGTGAGGCACCTGGGCTGCGCTGCCCTCACCCGCCTCCGCGAGCCCCAGCTTCCTCTGCTTTCTGAATAGGAGGGCGCAATGAGCCGCCAGCACCCTTGTCTGGGGTGGAGTCCAGTGTCCCCCTGGCTGGCGATGGACCTATGGGTACTGCTGTCCTGCTTCTGGGCATGTTTTCTTCCATGGACACCAGGTACTAGACTTCATTCCACTGGAAGTTGGACTGAAACAAAGCCTCTTCACTCTGGAGTTCTGTTCTGGACGCAGTGGAGTATCACCCAGGTCTGGCCTGGTGAGATGGGTTCCACAGGGCAGTTGCTCCAGGTGAACATGGCCTTCCAACCTTGAGTTGGTGCCCCACGAGGACGAGGCTTCTCTCTCTTCCTGACTCTCTCATGTATGAAAAGGGCCTTGAGAGGATGCTCCAGGTGATCTCCACTTAAGTGTGCAAACTCCAGAGGCCCTGGCCGACCCTCAGCTGTCTCGATTCAGGCCGCTGAGTTCTCCATGTGCCATCCCAGGTGGCGGCCAGCTCTGTACATTTGTTCCCTGCTCTTTGGGGTCACTCTCCTGTGCTGGCTGCTGTGCCACATCTGGCATTTTGTCTTCTCTGTGAGTTGTCTGAAGGCCAATCCCTGTGGCTCCACCATAGCTGGACACCAGACAGACACTCACTACCAAGCTGCCAGGTGCCATTTCATGCAGATCCTACCCCTTGCAGCAGGAAGAGTTGATAGGTATACACATGTCATGTCCAGCGGGGATAGCTGGGGGGCTGAGGGCATGATGGAAGGGAGCTGTGAACTAGACACTGGAGGCTTCTCTGAGCCCCAACCTGAGAGAAATGAGAGCAAGCCTTACAGGTGCCCACAGGAAGAGCCCAAGCAGAGGAAGTGAGGGTTCCAAGGGGGAACATTTGAGGCCCACTCCAGGGGCTGGGCGGAGGAGAGATGGGCCAGCTGCAGTCCTGGGACGGCCTGCAGTGGCGGGGCTGTGCAGCCATCCTGAGTGGAGATGGAGGCAGAATGGCTGCCATGGCATTCCTTGGGGCCCGGGGAAGACAGGCTGGAGGATGCAGAAGGGAGAACCAACAAGGCCTGCAGAGGGCTGGGCCGTGGGGCGAGGCAGCAACAGAAGCCATGGCAGCGAGGCCCTGGGCCTCTGTGGCAGGAGGTCACCCTCAAAAAGGACAGCCAGCACCTGGCTAACAGCCTCAGCGTGTTCCATGTCCAGAGAGAGGCTGCCAACCCTCTGTGGGCCCCTCTGCCACCTGGCACTGCCACAGCAGCCCGCTTGCTGCTCCAGCCCCAAGTCCCATTCCAGGCTCTAGCTGTCACCTGCTCACCACCAGCCTTCCTCAGTGTCACTTGCCCCTGAACCCTGGCCAGCACATCCCAGTGCCCATAGAAGTGAAGGGTCTCCCAGCACACAGTCCCACCCTGCCTCAGCCCAGCCCAGGGCTTCACAGTGTCACTGTGATCCACCTTACCAACTCAGGTCCTTGGATTCACAAGGACCAGCACCCATGGCCTTCCTGTACGACTCTAGCCCTGCTCCATCCTCCATGCCCAGCCCCACCCTCCACGCCCAGCCCCACCTGGCCCTGTGCAACTATGCCTGCTCAAAACGGGGCAAGGACTGCCACCCCCAGCACTGCTAGGGATGCCTCCTCTGCTGGAGAGAGCTCCTGGAGGGCAGGGCCTGTCACACCGCCTGGGGCCCTGGCCATGCATGTGACAAGGTATTTCAGGGGGCAGTTTGGGAGGGACACCAGCATGAGGTGACACTGTACACTGGAAACCACTCAATCAGACTCTGGGCTCTGGGTCCCTGCGCCAGGTTGGTGATGAGTAGGAGCTTCTGATGCAAGGCTGTAGGAGGCAGCTGCTGCCCACCTGTCATGCCCCCAGCCTGGGCAGACCCCATGCTTCACCCTCAGATGGCTATGACAGGAGTCCTCACATGCAAATATAAAGGGGTTTATTTGATTCTGTCATCAGGGTACAAAATGCAACACACAAGCCACTCCTGCCCTCTTCAGCACGGATGTGTGTGCCGTCCACAGGAGCCTCAGGCTTCAAACATGGCGCAGCTGGTGCACAGGGCCTTCTCCCAGACGCCACTGCAGCTGCACCGCCACCGGGGCGGGGGGTAGGGGAGAGAGGAGAGCTGTGTTAGGGCCTGGGCTATGCCTCCCTGTCCCCCGCCGTCCTAACCCAGGACAGAAGCATAAGACCTTTGGAACAGGCTCATGTGGCAGTGACATTGCAGCGCCTGTTTGGGACACCCCCCACCCAGGGGTGGCCCAGCATGCAGGCACACTGTCTTCAGGAACTGGCTCACATCCTTCCCCTGTTCCCAGCTGCAGAGCAGATGCAATCAGTCAAAATGAGGTCCCCCCATAGGAGAGCAATGGGGGCCTTCAGAGAATGTAACACAAGGAGAAAGACACAGAAGAGGAGGACATCAAGGCACATGGAGATAGGCATCCATAAGGAAAGCCCAGTGCGGCCACGGCCACGGCCACCAGATGCCCCAAGGGGCCTGCAATGGATTCTCCCGACAGCCTCGGAAGGAGCCCACCTTGCAGGCACCCTGATCTTGGACTTCCAGCCTCTAGAATATGAGGGTAAGTCTGCCTAAGCCACAACCCAGCGCCAGCTGGAGTGACACAGGCTGAGAAGCCCAGCTGGGTTTCACACAGGACACGCTCTCCCCAGAACTCCGCCGACATCCTGTCAGAATTCACAAAACACAACGGCTCCCATCAGAAGCACATGGAACAGCGCTCTCTCCTAATGAACGAGACTTTTAAGGGGAGCCAGTCAGTCATAGGAGACACTGATTGGGAGGGACACGCAAAGGACACACAGGAACAATGTGCTAACCAAGATGCAAGTAAGGACATGCCGTCTAAAACGCGTCAGCAAAGCCAGCGCTGACGGCTACCTGGTGCTCAGACCATCTGCCAGTGGCGCCAGAGGCCAGCAGTCAACACAGCGCCAGCAGCCAGCCTGTAAGCCTGAGGCAACGGAGCAGGTAGGGGCCAAGCGGGGCCACCGGGTAGGTGGGTGACGGCCAGCTGAGCTGCATTTCAGTTACATCAGAACCACATTAGAGAAGCCCTTGTTTTCTGCCACTCTTGCAGCTGCTTGTCCTGAATGGGAATCCAGGGCCATGTTTGGCAGAAGCAGCAAGGGGTGGGGTAGGCCTGGCATCCAAGCCTGGGGACATGACTTCCAGGTAGTGACCTGGGGCGGGTCATTCACTGGTAACAGGGTGGAGAGCCCACCTCCTGCGGACCCGCAGGGAAGGGCTACGAAGACACTGCCCTTTCAGTTTACTGTCAGTAGCAAAAAGACCCAAATCAGGCTGGGAAACCACAGGAGGAGCACCCGCTTCAGGACTAGCCTAACACTAGTTCCCAAACTGAATGCTGCATGTCACTGGACTCCCACCTGGCCATGGGGCCTGGGACTTCTCCCTAGAGCACCCCTCCAGGGCCGTCCAGGTCTCCCCAACTGAAGAGCACCTCAAGGGAAAGATGCCCTCTGACATGTGGTTTTCAGTTTTACACAGCCTTAAACCGCTGGACCTGAGCTTGTTTGGATCTTCAGAGCCACTTGCATGTCTGGGGGAACTTGTCTTTTGAAGGGGCAGGACAAGTGGATAGGCATAGCTGCTGGGGTGGGAACAGCCTCCTGGCACCTTGTGGATACCAGAGCCAGCCAGCTGCAGCAGCATGCACTCACACACAGCGGACTAAGCCAACTTCCCATTTCCTGCTTAAAGAGCTAATAACCTGGCAAACACACATGCAGCATGCACCTGCTGCCATGCATCAGGTGTTCCTCAAACATCAGCACACAACGCAGGAAGCAAATCTATGAGGAAGTGTGCAGCCGAGAAGACCAAGACACAAAGCTGTTGAAGAAAGGAGGCCACAGAGAGAACTGACCACTGGTGAATCTGGATTTCCTTGAGAAAGAACTACTAAGTGTTCAGAAAAAAAAAAATAAAGCTATACAAGGCATTTATTGTCATCATGTCCTGTCCTTCGAGGTGATGGTAGATGGCACCTACAGAGGACCTGTCCACTACCCTGTGGGCACACCCTGAGCATGGTGACCATGGTTCTAGCAGCACCATGGACCAAAGCACTTACTCCACAAGGCCACACAGGGCACAGGCCACTGCACCACAGCCCCAGCAAGTGCGCACACACTGCCCACACAGGGCCCGCTCGCACTGGCTGCAGACCACCTTCCCATCAGCAGCTCGCACACATGAGGAACAGGCGATGGCTGTGGCCCCCGACAGGTCTGTGAGGAAAAGAAACAGCATGCTGTCAGCCTGGAAGGGGAGTGGAAGAGCGCAGGGGCTGTGGGCTCACCTCTCTTCCCTGCAACTGACCCAGTCTGCCCCACTCTGGCACTGGATCCCTTAGAAACCCTCCAGCTGAGCACAGTGCCCAGATCCCATTCTACTAAAGATCCACAGTGCTCCCTGCACGAGACTGCAGGTCCGCCTACTGCTGCATCACCTGCTACTGAGCACAGGACTTCTTGCTGACTGCTTTATCAGAACCTGGTGTGTTCCTGTGTTGCAAGGTGTGGCCCGCTACTTAACCAAGGGTCCTGGACCCCTCTCTGACCCCCTGAACAGACTCCAGGTGGGCCTGGGACTCTGTCTGAGCACTGCACCCCGGACATTCCCACCTCCACAGAACAGAGAAGGGCATTGCCAAGCAGGCAGGAGGCCAGGTGACTCCTACTCCTTTCCTGGCCTGATAATCAGATCTCCCAGCAGAATCCTTCCGAACTTCTGCCACTTGCCCTGTGTATCAGACTCTGGGTCGGACTCCTGCTTGTGAGGCAGGAAAAACATCTGAGCTGACTATCTTGCACTGCCGACCTGCAGCACCACAGACAGGAAGTGCCACTGGCAGCCACTCACCAGCCTCAGGGGCCTGGGCTCGGCTCCTGATCAGTCGGCCATCTGGTCCAATCAGCATCTGCCCCCTTACAGCTCGAGGTGCACCTGTAGGGCCGGGCTTTGGGGACTCTGGCAGGTGGACGATGGCACAGCCTTCACCCCACACATAGTTCCTGCAGGCCTGGGCCCCGTGGAAAAGGAGTTGCTTGGTCTTCTCTGGGGAAGACAGACCATTCCTCAAATTTACACTGTGCAGCCATGAAGCCCTCAACAGCCATCTTATGACCTATCAGGATGGCACAGGGAGTTCTTTGTGCCTGTCCCCTGTTACCCTGGCTCACGCTGCTCCCTGGAAAGGCAAGGCCTCCTCTGTCTCCCCTGGCTCAGCAGCCAGCATCACTACAGTCCCACCTGTGTCCCACACAGGTCCTCCTCCTATTGGTCTGCTCATTCTCAGCAACCACAGCTGGCCTCCTTCATGGGGCTTGTGTCCCTTTCCTCTCTCCTCCCCTGTACTCCCATCCTCAAGGTGGCCTGTTTCATGCAGAAGTTCTGCACCCTTGAACACTACTCTTCAAAAAGGTGCCCCCAAGGAGATAGGGGGAAACCAGAGGCTCAGCTGAGCCTGCAAGCCTGGGCACATCCCCATCACCTCCAGAGAGGCCAGCAAAACAGGGCAGCATGGGCTGGGGTTGTGGCTCAGTGGTGGAGTGCTTGTCTCCCATGTCAAGGCCATGGGTTTGATCTGCAGCACCACATAAAAATAAATAAATAAAAATAAAGCTATATATCCATCTACAACTAAAAAAGACAGGACAGCAGACAACTCCTGATCAAGGGACCCCAGAACCTTCTACAGGTCTTGAATACCTACTCATGCCTAAGAGCTGGAGTGACTTCTCAGTGCACAGGGCAGTGGCTTTCCACTGCTACACAAAGGTATCCAGGCAGCCTTACAAAATCAAATGCCAACCTGCCAGTCCCCAGAAAAATTTGCCCAGCGTGGCCCCGGTGGAGATGCCAGATGCAAATAATGGCTGTGGGAACTCAAATGGAGTGGCTAATGCCAGCCCAACTGGGTGCTTCCACCTATATTTGTGTGAGAATGTGGGAAAGGGGGGGAGGTCACATGCTGAGGACAGGGTTCCTGGTCCATCTGAAGTGGAGGTTAAGGTGCTTGATGTGGCCTGGAACTCATCCCATGTGACTTCGATCTGCATGTCAGTCCTGCCCACACTACAGAGCACAGCACCCCTCCTGACCCAGCGAGGAGGAACAAGCTCCTGCCAACAGGCCAAAATAGGAATCTCAAGAGAGGATGTAGAGAGGGAGATGACTTAGCTTCCAATTCTACTTAATTCTTCTGTTTCTAGTTGTTAAGGGCACATGCTTTAAGTCCAGCCAGTCTCTGGCTTCATTGGTTTCATCACCTGTGTGGCCTCAAAAGCATTTCAGGTGGCAGCCCTGACCAGGGAGAGGGCACAGAACTGCAGACACAGGAGGAGAACCAGGGCCTTGAAAGGGATCTTTGTTTTTTTCCAAGCACAGGCTTCTTCTCCACACCCTAAAGGCACAAGCAGCAACCCTCAAACTCACGCCAAGATGTTTTCTGACTGCCAATGTGAGTATAAACTTTGTGTCTACAACCACCAGGGTAAAGTAAATTCCACTCTGCATCTGCCCCAGAAGTCAGGCTCGCCAAAGTGATGCTCAGTAACACGAACCTGCCTGGCATTCCGCAGGAGGCGGCCTCTCTCGCCTCCACTGCCCTCACATACCCAGAACGCCTGCCGCGCTGTTTCCAGGGCCCTGGCCTCTTCCCCTCCTGGCTAGCTCACCCTCCAGGACTCGGCCTCGACTCTGAGCCCCCCGAGACCATCCCTGCTCCCCGTGCCCGTGCTCGTGCATCGGTGCCACCTCCATCCCTCCCGGCCCTCGCGTCCTCGAGGGACAGACATGTCCCGGCTTGGCTTGGCGCTGAACGGGGCGGGGGCAGGCTGGGGGAAGGAGGGCGTGCACTGGGTCACTCGCGTGTCCGCTGCCCCCTACCGGCGCTGCCCGCCCGCTCCGGCTCCCTCTGCTCTGGGCGGGAGGGTCCCGGGACCGCTGCCCGGGCCAGGCCAATGGGAAGCCGCGGCCGCCCGCACTCACCGAAAATCTCCCGAGAGTAGCGCTCGGCGCACACGCCGTGGCTCAGCTCCTTTCGGCCCACGCGGACTTTGAGCTGCAGCGGGGCGGCGTCCGCGAAGGGGCAGCCCCGCTTGGGCATGGCCGCGGGGCCACAGGACGCCGACCGCCGCGCGCGCCACGCGCTGACCCCGACGTCACAGCCGCGCGCCAACCGCCGGGCGAGGGCGTGGCGTGGCTAGGGCACGGCGCGGCGCGGGATAGGCTAGTAAGGGATTGGGGGCGGGGCTCGTGAGAGGCACGGAGCGGGATAGGTCGAGGGCCGAGCCGGGGGCGGAGCTCGGCGGCGCGGGAAAGGCCAAGGTGGAGGCCGAGGGTACTCCGGGATCTCAGGGGCGGAACTTGGGAGGCCCGTGGGTTGTGTTAAGTCAGAGGCCAGGCAGGGCGGGGCTCCTGGGCGATAGGGCGCGGATAGGCCGACACTCGCTCGGGGGCGTGGCTCCGGCGTGGCGCTGCGTGGGAAGGTCGGGGGCGGTAGCGGCGGGCGCGGCGAGCTGGCCCCGGAAGCCCTGGGGAGGCAGGTGGCAGTTCTGTTTCCAGCCCCGAGTGTGAGGGCGTAGTGCCTGCTCCGAGTTCTCCATCGGAAGGATAAAGGCTCCGCAGGCCGGCCGCCGGGAAGGGCGGTTGAAACTGCCTTAGGACTTATTTATTTTCTTCTTTGAAAAAAATTTTTTTTAATTGTTGTCCGGGGTTGAACCCAGGACCTCGCTCGTTCTAGGCAAGTCTTCATCACCAAGGAACATCCCTTTATTTTATTTTGTTTTGGGTACCTGGGATTGAACTCGGGACACTGACCACTGAGCCACATCCCCAGTCCTATTTTGTATTTTATTTAGAGACAGGGTGTCACTGAGTTGCTTAGCGTCTCGCTTTTGCAGAGGCTGGCTTTGAACTCGTGATCCTCCTGCCTCAGCCTCCTGAGCCACTGGGGTTACAGGCATATGCCACCACAACCAGCCCCTTTATTTTGAGATAGAATCTTGCTAAGTTATTCTTTATCATCCCTAAAGCAAAGGGGGACAGTAAAACACCTGGGCTGGTGAGTTCAGATGCACTGGAGGACGCTGGCTTTCTCTCCTGCACCCTGGGCACCAGGGCAGAGGGGGTTATCTGTAGAAAGCCACTTTCCTGCATGGAGGCCAGGGCGCTGCTCCTTGACGTCCTAGCAAGCTCAGCAAGCTCGTGCTGATGATGTCACTGCTTCTGCAGCCGAACGTGAGACCCTCTCTGAGTGGCCATGGGTGCAGAAGGGGGCACTGGGGAAAAGCTCGTGTCCCTCATCCAGCCTGACACCACTGGACTAAATGCCCTGGGGAGAAGGTGCAGTGATGGGTGGAGGAGTTGCTGACCTAGCCTGTGGCCATGGACTCTCCCTAGAGCAGACTAGTCTCCTGTCAGCTTTCCCCAGCGATCACGGCTCCCAGGCTGTTTCTGGGTACTTTATTCGGCTTTCCCAAAACCTTTCACTGGCACAGCTGGGCTGTGGATGTGACGGTTTCCCAGGCTAGCCTCAAACTTGCAATCTTCTTGCCTCAACCTCCAGATTCTTGGGCTATAGGAATGCTCCACTGCAAAACTGCCATAGAATCTTTAACATAGTAAATACACGCAAAGCAGTGACAGAGAATCTTCTTAGCTCTTCCATTTCAGTCGAGTCTGGATTCAAGAACCACTCATTGAGGGTGCATTAAGTGTTGGATGTATCTGTTCAACCTGAGTTTGGGACAAAACTCACTTCTCTGCTTCTGCTGGGGGGTGAGGTCTGCATAAACTGCAGTCCTCTGCAGTTGAGAAAGTCCATTTTAGCCTTAGAGCTAATACAGCAGGGGATGCTTCAAGGGTCTCAGCTGGCAAAACCAGATTCTTCTCCACTACTGTGGAGTGGTATGTTGCAGCTCTTAATGGCAAACCCTAGAAGCTCACTGCCAATTTCTTTCTTGGTCCTTGTCTTTTTAATTCAAAGAATGAAATTCACAGATGAAGAGGAGTGAGCATAAAAGAATAGGATTTATTTAAGTGAGAACAAAAGACACAGAATTCCCACAAGCTGAGAGAGGACCTCAGCAGATTGTCACTTTCATGTACTAGTCTAGGGGCTTCTATGGCTTCTGGGTAGAGGCAATGGTCAAAATCCATGCTACACAGACATTGGAAAAGGCTGTCGGTTAGCTCTTGAGGCTGTAGCCTTAACTCAGGTCTGACCTGCCTCCTATTCCCATCTCCCCAGGATGAAGGAGTTGGCTGGAATGTTTCTACAGGTTAACTTTATGGAGTGGCCTTTACATTAAAATAAAAGAACTGGAATCCCGTAACTATCCTATCTTATTCAATAGCAAATACCACAGGGTGGCTAAAATAAGAGATGTTCATTCCCTCCCAGGTTGAGGCTGGAAGTCTAAAACCAAGGTGCCAGCAGTATGGGTTTCTCCTGAGGTCCCTCTCCTTGGTTTGTAATGGACATCTTCTCCTTGTGTCATCACAGGGTCATCCCTATGTTTCCTGATGTCCTCCTCTTAGAAGGACACCAATCACGTTGGTTAGGGTCTCCCCTGAGGACCCATTTTAACTTAATCACCACTTTAAAGATTGTCTTCAAGTAGTTCCATCTGAGTCCTGTGGGTTAAGGCTTCAACATGAATAGGATTCAGCACAGAAGTGGCAAGGAAGTGTGCAGGTGGAGCCTGAGTGGCCAGCACCCTCCTTCCTCACCCTGAGCAGTGATTCTGCTCTGTGTCCCATCCCTAAGGGTGGCACTGCTGCTCTGAAGCTCTGTGTCCGGCTGCTTCTCAGCACTCCAACTTTGCCCCCACCTTCTTGCACCTGTGGGCAGCTGGTTCCTTTTGGCACCAAGTGTCCCACTGTCTAGCAGAACCTTGGTTTGCTTGCCCACCCCACTGGGCCCTGGGCTGATGCCAGGCTTTGGCTGTAATGGCTGAGCTGCTCTGGACGGCCTGTGCATGGAAGGCCTTTTCTGGATACCCAGATTCACCTATCATGGACCAGGATGAGGGACGGATGCCCAGGTGCCGGTAGATATAGTTTAACTTCTAAACCAGCCAGCAGCTTTCAGAAGTGCTAGGGAATGCACTTATTAAAGAACATGGCCGTCACGAGTTTCCCCTGGTTTGGTTCTGAGGGGGCATCTGGACAGTGGCCATGATCTCTAGCCCTTCCTTGACCAGGCTCCTGACCTGGGCATGAACATTTATTGGGAGCCTTTCGTAGGGTATTTCCTTGTCCTGGTAACACCCGATGCCAGAGTCTCCAACCCATGACTGTGTCCCTCTCACAGGAAACTTGTTCAGTGTCCTTGTAGCTCTGTCTCTGACCTGTGTCCAGTTTATGCTTGCCAAGGTAGCCCTCTCTGGGACAGCCCTGATGGGAGGTCAGCTTTGGGAGGGACACAGGGGAGGCAGCTCAACAAAACAGAGAGAAGGATAGAAGAGCTCAGTCCTCCCAGATCCAAGAGAGGAGAGCAGGGTGCCTGGCGAGCACCCGTGGGAGCTATCCAGCACATGCCCAGGCAGCACATGGGCAAGAGCCTGAGAGCAAGACCTGTGGGGGAGTCTACTGGGGTCCAGGGTGTTACCTAATCAGGGTCTCTCAGGGAGCTCTAAGTAGAGGAACTGGCAGGCGCCAGGTCCCAGGCACCTGCTGGGACTGAAGGTGGGCACCACAGCAGTGTGGGTCAGTGGGTGGACCAGGCTGTTTTTCTCCACCGTTCCACCGAGGGGGGGGGTGTCAGGGAGGCATTTTCAGGGAAAGCTCTGTGGACGGACACCCTGAGGACCACCCTGGGAGGACGTAGGGACCCACAGACTCAGGGTGCCTGAGCCCTGCCTCTGGTGTGAGGTGCAGCTTGCACTCAAGGTGGGTGCCCAGGCAACAGGAAATTGCAAGCTTCACGTGGCCATCGAGTCACTGATTTTTCTTTTACCCCTGCGTTGAACAGAGACCTAGCCTACACTGTCTGCCCTAGGGCTGTGTTGTCTATATAAAGTTCAAAAATCCCAAACCCTCCAAATATCTGCTGCTGGAAAACTCTTTCCTTTTGCCTTTCCTGCTGTATTGTGGAAGGAAAAAAATTCCCAGAAAACCCAAGGAACTGTGTTTGCTTCTGTCTTCTCCCGTGGCTGTGTGCTGAGCACCAGGAAGGCACAGGAAGGCCACCAAGTGGCCAAGAGGTGGGGAGGTAGCCACACTGGCATTTCCCATTTCCTTTCAAACCCTGAAGGTCCTTCTTGATACCATTTGGGAGTTTGCTGGTGAGCCTGGGGTCATAGGGGTTTTTGCCCTGAGCCCACTGTCATGTGAGTTGGTATCTTCTGGGAGTGAGCCAGACAGGCCAAGCCTGTAGGACTTCTTGGACCGTTGAAGTCTGTTGGAAAGCAAACCCAGGTGGCCTTCAGCAGGGGGACCATCTGACTTGGTGCCAACTAGTCTGGAGTCACCTGGGAGACTCTGGGTCCCTCCATGCAATCCTTGGCCTCGGGAAGGATATCAGAGGGCAGTTATTTTTCTAAATGTACCCCAAACTCTGAAACGTTATCGAAGGAGGCCACTTGGTGCCCCTGTGGGTAGAGACCATGGTCAGCACTGGAAGGCTCAGACCAGTCAAGAAGTGTTTGAGCCATTGGATGCAGCTTGGAAGAACTGTGCCCAAGCTTGCCCAGCTGGAATGGAGAGGGGCTGCCCCTGGGCTCCACTGCCCTCTCGGGCGGGTGTGATTATCTTTCTTGGATTATCCAGTGGGTCCTAGCTGGGTAGCAGCCCTAGAGTGTAATTCATTTAGGTAGTTAGTTTTGAAATTTTGTCTTTCTTTTTTTTTTTTTTTGCAGTGCTGAGGAAGGAACCTAGGCCTTGTGCACTCTGGGCAAATGCTCTACCCCTGAACTTCATCCCCAGCGTAGTTGGTTAGTTTTGAAAAACATATTTAATACACTTGGTCCATCCTACATGAGCTTGCTCCATTTTGTTTTCTGAACATATACCTGGCTTAGCTTTTGATACCCGACTGCAGGGTTCCATTTTGCCCACCAGTTACCCTGGCCCCACCCCAAACCCTGTGGGATGATGTCCTTCAGATAGCCAGCCCAGTGTGACATGTGGGCCCCTGACATCCACACTGTTAACTGATGCTGGACATGTTAACAGGTTTTGAGAAAAGCTACATTTCAGGTGACCATGGCCTGGCATGGTCTAGCTTAGCAAGTAAACTCCAGCTTGTTGCCTTAGGATGTGGGATTTCCCTGACTTGCTGCCAGAGTCTCTAAGTCCCCAGTGAATTGTGTGTTGTGTAACCCTGGGCCCATTTGCCTCTTCCTGGGGTCTCAGAGCGCCTGCTGGTAGTGGCAGCCATTCTCAGCTACTGACTGAGCCTTTCTCTTAGGAGGCTGCATCATCTGGACGCTGGTCATGGGGAGTAGGTGCCTTTCAGTGTTGAAAAGCAACAAGGACAAGGTCAAGGCAAGCACACAGTGACCACTGCTCAGTGGCTCTGGGGTGTGTTTATTGCAACACGGCTCCAGCTGGACACACCATGTGACATCAGTGTGCTGGGGGCCCTGTTTGAAGCACTTAGGCTCATTTTAAACAGCAGAATCTTAAAAACTGTACATGGAGCTCACTTGCAGATGATTAAGACCATCGCAGAATTCAGTGGGTTGAGCTGAAGGCTTAAATAGAAAAATCAAAGTGCAGAAACCCATTTTCCTATTTCCGTGGATGGTGTAGCTGTGACACCTACAGCGGCTCACACGGGGACAGGGGCTGCTGTGGCCTGCCCAGGTCGGCTCATCTAAAACAGCTGGATCATGGACTCTCTGGACTTGCCAACGCCAACCCATTTGACTGGAAGGACAGCAGAGTGGTCACAACACACACATGTCAGTCATCTGACAGTGGGGCGATTTTTCTCCAAATGGAGATATTCCAAAGTTGGAAATTTAAGTGGAAATGTTTGACTGAAAGCGTCAATGGTAGCACACAGTGGGCGGTTTGGTCAGCCTGCGCCTGTTCCCAGGGCTTGCCACGTGGCGAGAACCCCCTGGACAGGGCTAACACATGCCTAGTGGCCATCTGCATCTGGGGCAGCTGTTCCTGGCAGGGTCACGAGGGCTGCCCCTGGCCACTGCTGCTGAAGTGAGCTGTCCCAGGAGCCACCCCAGCTCCGGTCCCTCCCCTCTTGCCATCTGATACACCCTCCTGGTCACTGCACCTGGCAGGAGTCTTATAGCCTCCAGGCCCTGCACTGGGACACAGGCCCCTGGGGCACCTGAGGTCCAGGGTGCAGGGAGGGGTGGCCATGGGGGCTCAGGCACCCACCTGCCACACCCACGTGATTCTCCACAAACCGCACGTAGCTCTGGGCCTGGGGGGGCAGGTCCTCCCACTTCCTGGCACCCGTGGTGTCTGCTTTCCAGCCGGGCAGTGTTTCGTACTCCACCTCAACCTTCTGAAGTATTTCCTGGTTAGCTGGGGACACACGGGCAGAGTGGTCCCTCGGACACTGACGACTGCAGGGCAATGTCAGTGAGGGCAGGCGGCCCTGTGGCTTTCCCAGCATGGGAAGAGCAGGGGGCAGACACTGGCTGTGCCCTCCAGGCCAGGGCACACCCACTGGGGACACGCACTCAGCACTGCTCTTCAAGGAGGCCCCACCTGGAAATCTGAATTCTGAGGCAGGAGGCACCCTGAGGGACATGTGCCCCTGCCCAGGAGCATCAAGCCTCAGGCACAGAGACACCTGCTCTGTGCTGGGACACCATGGCCCAAGGTGGTGCCATCCCTGACTCGGGGAAGATACTGGAATGAGTGCCCACCAAGGGTTCCTGGGTCCTGGTGCTCACTGTGCACAGAGCCCTGAGCACCAGGAGGAGACTCAGCCTCCCAGTCACATGCTCTCAAAGGTCAGGGGTCAACATGGCCAGGAGGGCCCTGAGGACACACGTGGCTCCTGTAGCCAAGGGGCACTTCCATGCATACCCAGGTCTGCTCAGAGGTTGTAAGCCAGGGGCAGTTACCCCGGCCACTGCAGAGGAGGCTAAGGAAGAGCAGGTCAGCATGGCCCTGGGTGTGAGGCTGAGGGGAGCCTTCCAGACCATGGGCACTGGAACCCAGGAAAGCAGCACCCCTTATGCTTTCCAAAGGAAGGGATGCCCAGTGGCCAGAGCCCAGGAGATCTTCAGACTCCAGCCAGGACCAGGGGCCTGGTGGTGGAGCGCGTTCCCCCAGCCTGGGTTCCCCCAGCACCGAAATGCAAGGTCAGTACAGCTAGCCACAAGGCATGCTCGCTGAGGGGAGGGCCAGCTCCATGTCCCAGTTTTCCAGAGCAGTTCACGTCCACTAACTCATGGGGCATTGCCCTTCCTGGAGGAGGTCCTCCTCTGCCGAAGTGACTGAGGGTCCCCAGGGTCCCCAGGCAATGACTGTAGGTAGTCAGAAACAGTCCTGTCCCCTGAGCTATTCTCAGGCCACCAGAAGGCACTGCAGTCAAGACCCACCTCCTTCCTGGCTCCGAGACCTGGTCAGGCTTCCCCAAGAACCCGTGAAAGACCAAAGCCAGGAAGGACGTGGGTCTTTGGGGAGCAGCAGCCCGCCCTCTGCCCGCTGAGCCGGGAAACCCCTCGGTCTCAGGAACCTCGGGTCGCCTCCATCAAAGCCAAACAGATGTCCCAGTGAACAGAAAAACAGTGGCTCATTCCAGTACCTGGGAAGTAGGGGATTCTCTTTCCATTGAGCTTGTACGAGACGCCGACTTTGATCTCACCCAGGACGTCCAGGATGTCCAGCTTGGTCAAGGCTAGCCTGTCCAAAAACCAAGAGACATCAGCAGACTGTCAATTGAGAATAAACACGGGTGATCCCCAAAGAAATGTGATTGATGAACAGGCCAGGGGGCAGGAAGCCCACCTCAGGGCTGTACCCTGCCTTGGCCGTTCAAGGACGCTCCCCTTCCTTGAGTGTCCCCACGGGGAGCCCCTTTCCCCTCATCTCAGCTTTCTCTGGCGGTCAGAGCTCCCTCTGCCTGTGCCTCCTGCCCCGTGGGGCCCGCAGCATGGCTTGTGTGGGGTCCCAGCCCTGTGAGCACAGTCCCCACCCAGGACGACTCTGGTTAAGTCTTGAACCCAACAGGGACCTTTCCACCTGGTTGGAGGTCGCTCACGACCCTGGCCTGTGTTGCCAAACTGGAGATGAAGCAGTGAACCCTTGGTCCAGCAAGCCTCTGTTCCCAGGAGACGGTCCTGAGCAACTGGACCTCAGGGTCCTTACAGAGAACCACTGGAGGCTGCCCTGCCCCGACCGCTGCACCCCTGGGAAAATGCCCGCAGCCGTTCCAGCTGGCAGCAGGGGCCCCTCGGGCTTCTCCCCCAGGGCCAGAGAGGCTTTTCCCAAGGGCTGTGCGGCTGGGGCTGCAGCGCTCTGGGTCCTAACCTCAGGTCCCACTCAGGTCCCCTCTGTGGGATCCACCCACGTGGGGGAGAGGTATCTGGCGCTTCCCAGGTGGCCTTCCCATGGATCAGGGGTTTGCGCCCTTCCTAGGAGTCAGCTCTGGCGAGCTGAGGAGGGGCTGCTTACGCCGTGAACCCGTTGACCATGTGGGCGTATCTGAGGATCACCAGGTCCAGCCAGCCGCAGCGCCGCTTCCTGCCCGTGGTCACCCCCCATTCGTGGCCGCGGTTCTGCAGCAGGTCTCCGATTTCCTGCACGAGGACAGAGAAGACGGTCCACGGGAGCCACGATGGGAACCGTGACAGGAGCCGTGTGTCCTCTCCTCCCCGCCGGCTCCTCCTCTGCCCTCCTCCTCCTCCTGACCCGGCAGTCCTTGAAGGCGCCTCCGAGGCAGCCGACGCGCCCCACACCTCCACGTTCCTGGCAGCCACATCCCCACCTGGGAGCGCAGTGGCCGGGCCTTGCTGCCCAGTGTGGTTCTGGGCTGGCAGAACCTTGTCCCCAGAAGGCCAGGAGCCGGCCATCTTCCCTCCTGCTTGGGCGAGGACAGGTATGCGTGGGGCCTGGTCCTGCAGCTGGACTTTGCGGGCAGGGGGTGTGCTTATCTCCTCCTCCATGCCCCTGCCCAGCCGGGAGCTGCTTGCCTCTGCATGTGAGCCACAGCTCCCCAACTCTGGCTCTCGTGGGCACCTGCTCCTCCCCCCTGCTCTGGGACGAGGCCCGTGGTCATCCCACCCTGCCAAGGTGGGTGAGACTGGGCAAGGAAGGCCAGTGGCTCCTGCAGATTCGGAGCCACCGTGGCTTCCAGAAGTGCTCTGAGGTGGGGAGAGGGCTGTGCGTTCAGCCCTGATTCCTGTGCTTGGTGGACAGACACCCGAGTTGGATGAGGCCCAGAAAAGGACAAAGACAACCCAAACCCCGGAGAGGCCCAGAGGACATGGGTGTCCCTCTGAGCTGGGTGGCTAACCGACATGAGGGTGCTCTGAGGGGTTTGAGGTGCCCCCACTTGCCCGTGGGCCTCACGAGTTTCCCGGGGTAGTGGTGGGCGCACACATGTGCACACACACGCACACACGCACACACACACACACACACTCTGGCCACAGTGCTGTTGCCGTTGAAATGGTGCAGGAGCCCTGCCTGTGCCACAGGAGGGCCCCACTGGGGGGTCGGGCATGGCCAAGCAAGGTCCCTGCGGCTTCCCACACAGTTCCACCGCCTGGTGCTGGGGCTGGCACTCACATTGATCTGCTCGGTGGGGAAGGCCCCGATGCCCACGCGGGTGGTGTAGGCCTTCACCACTCCGTACACGTCGCCTATGTTCTGCGGGGGGATGCCCAGGCCCGTACACACGCCGCCCACCGTGCAGTTGGAAGAAGTCACAAAAGGGTAGGTCCCTGTAAGACAGAGGACTGGGGCTGCCCTCCACCCTGCGGGCCTGGGGCCCAAGACCTTCTCCACAAAGAGGGTCAACAGGGCCAGGGGTCTGAGGGGCTGTCCTGGGGCAGTGCCCTGCATGGGCACTGGGTGCTGGGCCATGTGGCTCACATAGGAGTCTGGGTGAGACTGAGGCGGCCTGGCTGCCCGACAGTGCGGCAGACTGTGCCCCGTGGAGCAGGGACAGAAAGGACCCAGACTTGCTGGGCCCCTGGTCCCCCTCCTGGCCTCTCTGGCTGCCAATTCCTTCATCTCTAGCTCAGCCCTTCCCTCTTTCCTCTCCCAGCTGAAATTAGGAGGACGGGGGATGAGGGATCTCACTCATGCAGCCTGAGGGTGTGACTGCTTCACCCCCCACCTGCTTCCGCACACAAGGCCTGTCAGGAAGCATGGCCCCTGGGTGGCGGCTCGGAGGGGGACGCACCGAAGTCAATGTCCAGGAGGGCTGCATTGGCGCCTTCTACCAGGATCCTCTTGGGGGGGCCGTGGAGCGCCTCGTACATGAAGTACACACCGTCGCGCACCATGGGTCTGATCCGCTCAGCAAAGCCCTGCGGGTGCGGAGGGTGAGGCCAGCCTCCCAGGCAGCAATGGCATGGGACGGGGCCTCCCACCAGGCGCCTTGCCCAGGCCCCAGGGTCACCTTGAGCCTCTTGAGCTGCCCTTCCACGTCTACTTCCAAGGTGGGGAACATGGACTGGTGCTGCTGGGCCAGGTTCTTGAATCTGCACGAGTGACCTCGCTGTGACCCCTGACGGTCCACACGGGGAGCCGCACCCCTGCCTGGATCCGTGTGCCCCCCAACCTCCCTGCCGGCCCGGGGCGTGGACGTGCAGGCACCTGGTGGAGAACTCCTCGAAGTCCGACAGGAGGTCACAGATGCGGAGGCCCGTCCGGGCGGCTTTGGAGGAGTAGGTTGGTCCGATTCCCTTCTTGGTGGTGCCGATGCTGAAAGACGGGGATCCCATGCTTCTGAGGCCCCCGCTGACCCTCGCTGCCGCCTGCAGAGCCAGCTGGGGCTGGTGGGCAGTGTGCTGAGCCCAGGCTCGCCCCCTCACCCCAGCAGTGCCCTCTGCCCTGGCCGCCCCACCTGCGCCCCACCTTGGCTTCCTGAATGGGGGGCACTGCATGGGCCGCCTGTGTCCATGCCTCACACAGGCCAGTCGGAGCCCCGGGAGCCAGCGCACGAGTGAGACCATCATCTCCCAGGGCAGGATGCGGGTGCTTCACCCCGGTCGCCCCGTGCGTCCACGGCTCTGATGGACATCTCTGAGTGGATGAGTGTGTGGCCATTGGGTGTGCAGGGACAGGGTTCTGGTGTCACAGTGGTGCTGGCTGGGCAGATGGCCGGCTCTTTTCAGCTCCCTGTGGCCAGGCCACCGAGGGGAGGGAGGGTGTGGCCCGAGAGGTGGGTGGCCTAATGTTCTGGAGGGTGCTGTTCTGTAGTGGCTTTGAGTCGGTTGGCATCCTGCCCCTGGGACTGGATGCCCCCCAAGGCCGCCAGCTGGGGGATGGGGGCCGCAGCAGTTGCGCCTGGGTACTCACTTCTTGCCCTCCTGCGCCTGGCGCTGCACCTCCTGAAGCCCGTCCACGGCCTGGTGGAAGTCGAACACTGCGGGCCGCAGGGACAGCAGAGGACAGAGCTCAGCGGGGCCCGCCTGCGGCAGGTGGCCACTGGGAGGGCGTGGGAGGGCTTGGGTGTGACGGTCACCCTGGCCAGGAGTAGACGCCAGAGTCCCTGAGTCCCAGGCTGCCTGTGCCCTAGTCCCCTGTCTGCAGATGGGTTGGTCCCGGCTCCCGCTCAAGCGCTTTGAGAAAGGCAGGGGCCAGGGAGGGAGAGGGGGCCTCCCGGGGTGAGGGGGTGGGGGGGGGCTGTGTGAACCTCACCCAGGTGGGCCCGGTCAGAGATGATGAGCCTCTTCTCCCAGTCCTTCAGTCCTGTGGGGACAGGGCACACAGGCTGGCTGTGCTCACAGGGGCACCGTACTCAGGTGAGAGGTGCCAAAGTCGGCCAGCACACCGGCCATCCATGGATGAGCACGTGGCCAAGAGGCCAAGAGGGTCCCCTACACCGTGCAGCAGGTGACCACTCTGACCCCTGCCTCTCCCCTGCTGAGCTCTGGGAGGACAACCCTGCAGGCCCAGGGCTCTTCCTGCTCCAGCCGCCCTTCCTGGACTTCCTGAGCCTGAGGCTCCAGCGTCCACCTGCCTGTGACGCTGAGGCAGTGGCCTGAAGCAGGCCTCTAGGCTGCCCAGCTGCTGCCCACTGGGCGAGGACCCTGCCTTCTGCATGGGCAGAGACGGGGCCCAGCTGGAGAGGCTGCCCCGCCGGCTGGCCCAGTGCGCGCGGGCGGGCAGGCCTCAGGGACCCAGCCTACCTTTCTTCTCGTTCTTCTCTGCCTCTTCAAACAAGCCGGGCAAGTGGATGACCACGCCATTGCCTGCAACACACCGACAGGGTGGGTCGCGTCGCAGACCCTGAGACACGCTGCCCACAGCAGGCAGGGGCCAAAGCTGCCCGGGTGTCTGTCCAGGGATGGGCAGATGAGCCACATGGTCCAGCCCCACACCGACTGTAATTCAGCCCTGAAAAGAAGCCTCTCACCGCACGGTGGCCGTGGGTGTGATGCTCAGTATAATCAGCTGGATGGATGCTGTTGCGCAGAAACCAGAGGCTCCCATTCCAGGAGGTCCCTGCACTGACCAGCGCAGGGACAGAGGCAGAGGGTGTCTCCCAGGGGTGGGGGAAAGGGCGGGCAGGTTTCAGGTCTCAGAGCTTCAGTTTGGGGCTATGGGAGGCCCTGCGGGTGGATGACATGGTGCTCACAGGGTCGTGCTCCTTGGGACCTGAAACCCACCCACACAGAGCCTGCCTGGGGCGCTCACGGCAGCTGTGCTCAGGCTGCCAAAGCCTGGAGGTTACTCGGTGTCCTTCAGTGGGCGAGTGGAGGACGAACTGCACATTCAGGCCACGGGACGTCACTCAGCACCACAAAGAAAGGAGCCAGGAAGCCACAGAGGGCACGGGGACCCTGAAATGCAGACTGCACAGGAGCAGAGCCCGAGCCGCACTGCCCGGTGCTGCTCCCGGGGCAGGTGAAGGCACTTACACCCCAAAGCTCAACTTAACGAACCCCATCTTCAGTCACCAGGAAAGGCAAAGGCATGAGGTGCACACTGGCAGAGCCAGGGTCGGGCAAAGGGGTGCTGAGCAGGGCGCCAGGGTTGGGCGAAGGCGTGCTGAGCAGGGCACAGGGGCTTGGGACATGGCCCTGTCTGGTGCTGTGCTGGTAAGTCCTGCACACATCCTAGCCCACAGAATCCAGCAGAAGCCGTCCTCAGGCAGCCAGCGCGCCCCCCTCCCCCTGACCCCCAGCAATGGGCACACGCCAGTCTGCACGAGCGCAGGGCATCAGGAAACCCGTCCCCGCCTCTCAAGTCTGCTGTGACCCTCCAACGGCTCGGAGACACAGAGTCATTCAGAACCACTAATAGTGACCACCGTGTCTGAGCGCAGTGGAAGCAGCCCCCGGGCCAGGTGAGCACACTGCAGTCAGGCTGCCTGCGTGGGTGGGCGGCACTGTCCCCGTGGCTCCTGGGGCATGAGGGTGGTCTGCCGTTGAGGTGGGGGGTGTGGCACAGCTGTGCTTTATGATGTGCCAATCACTCCTCAGTCTGGCTGTTATTTTACTGAAATGGCATGAAAATGGGGAGCAGAGCCTGGGAGGGACGCAGCACCAGCGTGCCCCAGGAGCAGAGCGGCACCTCCCCCGGAGACATGCTCTTCCCAACGTGTAAAACAGAGATGTCCCACATAGGCAAGCAGAGGCCCAGAGAGGGAGGGTGACTTGCCCAAGGCCACACAGCACACTGGTAGAGTGTGGGCTGGGGGTGCTGAACTGGAGCCCTCTTCTCCAAGGCCGGAGGAGGCACAGTGGAGACCGAGGCTGCCTTCCCGGGGGCTCCCCTCCCTCTGCTGGTGATATGGGGCTGACGGCGGCACGGGGTTTGGCCAAGGGAGGCTGACTGACCCCAGTCCAGATGGGAGTGACTGGCCACAGGGAGCACAGAAGGTCACCTAAATGCCACTATCTCAAAATAGCCATGTGAGAGGCAGGAGTGTCACCAGTGAAGGGCTTTGTGCAGGCCTTAGTGTCTGCCCCTCGTGAGACGAGCCTCTGCAGGGGGCTGTCCTTCCTCTGCACTGACCACAGAGCCCGCTCTCCAGGTGTTCCCAGTGACCACCCGGCCTGTCCTCAGAGGCTGGGCAGCATGCCATCCCGGGCCGGCCGTGGCTCCTTGGCCTCGTTTCCTGCCCGGCATGGCCCGGGGCCCAGCAGAGCAGGGCTGGCAGCCAGTCCCCTGCACTATGCCCAGGCAGCAGGTTGGTACCACGTCACAGCTGCCTGGGAGCGGGGGACAGGGGCTTGGGACACAGAAAGGCGGTCGCCTCACTGGGCTCTGGGTTCTTTGGTGTGAAATGTGGATCGTCACTGCGGCAAGGGACAGGGATGAGGGCTGCACTGGGGGAGAGGCCACGGCCGCCTTGGCCAGGTCTTCCTTCCCCAGCTGGTCTACAGTGGCAGGCCCCTGTGCCACCAACTGGGCACAGACACAGCACTTCCTGACCTGGCTGGCGGTCAGTTGAGTCCCAAGTGTGCCAGGCAGAGCCGGGAGGAAAGGGAGAAGCAGGGGCTGAGAGCAGAGGGCAGGACTGCTGGGCGCCTCTGACTGGCCAGGGGGCAGGAAGGAAGAGAGGCAGAGCCACAAAGTCGTGGAGACTCAGGTGGCACTGGAAGGTCCTGGGTGGCTGCAGCAAGGTCAACAGGAGGAGGCAGTGCTGAGGTCAGTCAGCGGCGGGAGCAGCAGCCCCTCGGGCAGGGCCAGTGAAGCACAGCCGTCCACACAGCCCACACCTCACACAGCGGGGGCCCTGCATACACACAGGCAGCGCCCACACTTGCCCCGCGTGTGCCAGGGACGGGAGCTCACAGGGGTCCCTGCTCAGTGACCCCCTGCAGCCCCGCCCCAGGGCAGGCCCAGCCTGTGCCAGGATTCTGGCCGCAGGGCCCTGGGGACAGGCCAGGCCAGGCCCCTCTCAGGGCCCCCCCGCATTGACTACCTCCCAGTTCGGTTTGCGCTGGGGGCAGGTGGCCTCCACCCTCCCTGCAGGCTGAGTTCCTGGGCCCCATGCTCACAGCCTCCGAAAGGCAGGTGTGGGCTGGTCCTGGGGACACTCACCAATGAAGGACACGGCCTTGGTGTTGATGATGCCGCTGGGCAGCAGGTGGAAGTCGTACTCCTTGCCGTCCACCACCACCGTGTGGCCAGCATTGTTGCCCCCCTGGGAATAGAGACACGGCTGAGCAGGAGTTGAGGACTGACCCTGGGGGCTGCTCAGCTCCCCACCTCACTCCAGGGCCAGCGCCATCCCCGTGGGGTGAGGAGACTCCCGGGCGGTGGGACTGGGGCAGCCTAGCACAGCAGCCACTCTGACATGTGGGGAGGGGCCGGGGCTGGGTTGGTGGCCCTGTTCCTGGGACAGTCAGGCCTTTGCGTCTGCCCCTCGTGGGATGAGCCTCGGCAGGGGGCCGTCCTTCCTCTGCACTGACCACAGAGCCCGCTCTCCAGGTGTTCCCAGTGACCACCCGGCCTGTCCTCAGAGGCTGGGCAGCATGCCATCCCAGGTGGGAGAGGCTCTGGCCCAGGCTGGCCCCAGTGGCTCCAGGAGGTGGCTCAGCACAGGCCTCAGCTTCTAGGCCACCCCACGTGCTGCCTCCTCTGGTGAGGACCAAGGTCCAGCCCTCTCAAAACAGGCCCAACCTGTCCCCTTCAGCAGCGGCCCTCCCCCTGGCCGGCATCTCCCACCTGAGAATACAAGGGAAGCAACTCAGAGGAGCCCTGTCCTGGAAAGTACCCGGTGTCAGGCCGATGGGCTGGGGTGGGCACCAGGTGGGGGGAGGCAGGACCAGACAGCAGGTTCCAGCCCCTGTCCTGCCACTGACCAGCCACTGGAGCACAGCACAGGCTTGGCCCCTGACCCCATGTCCCAGGTCCTCATGAGGTAGGCCTCTGGTGCTACAGATACAAAGAGGCCCCATTGGGATGGGGTGCTATCAAAGTTCTGCCATGTCTGGGCAGACTGTCACCCACACTGGGTGGCTTGGCAAGGCCCTGTCCAACAGGGGTATGTCTGAACCCCGGGCAGGAGGCCCACCCTGCATGGACATATTTGCCGACAGGCAGAATACTCTCCTGAGATGGTGTGCTGCCCCCAAATCAGGTCCCCTGCACAGGCACTTGAGAACCTTTTGGTGCCTCTTGAGAACCTGCTCAGACCTGCAGGGGCCTGGTGAGCATCAGCTGGGAGGGAGGCTCCGGGCTCGTCCTGCTTCCTGCCACCAAGTGGCACTGCAGCCCCGAGGGGCGGGACCCTGATTACCTCCCAGCTGCACCCCATCTTCTGTGCCTTCTAGGGGGCAACCAGCTGATGGGACTGCGGGGCATCAGGTCCTCCCCCCCACAACCCAGCTGAGCAGACTCCCAGGCGAGACCTGCAGGGAGAGTGGCCCTCACCTCTCCCCATGAGCACCATGGCCACGGTTCCTCCTGATGCACCGGGCGGATCCGCAGCTCCAGCCCAGGCCAGGGAGAGGACAGATGCCCGAGGCCCCAGGTGAGAGCTACACACCTAAGCCACCTCCCCATCCCAGGGCCTCCTCGAAGCCCCACCTGGACCAGAACCTTCAGCAGTTGTCTGACACCCACCTGCCAGAAGCCAGTCCCCCACACGGTCCCCTGACACCAGTTAGGTTTTCCGATGCATGTGTGAGGCTCCCTCAGGTCTGCCCCGATGCCCATGAACAGACATTGGCACTGCCGCCCATGCCCACAGGGCAGGACCATCAGGAGCCTCCCAGCCACGTCCGACCTGGCCAAGGCACTGCTGGCACCCCAGTCCAGGGCTGGCTCTGGCCACATGACCATACCTGCCCTCCCCAGTGTCCCTGGCCAGCAGAGCACTGGGAGATGTGGGGGGGCAGTCTGACCTGACCAGGGCTCTGTGAGCAGATGACCATGGCCCCAGGGTGCCCATGGGGAAAGGGCAAGAGGGACAAAGAGGGACTCAGGCATGGGTGCTGGAGGTGGTCTGCGTGGGCCTCCACAGAGAGGACACAGGGAGGGACCTAGAGGGGCTGCCTGCAGGCAGGGGATGAGAGGCCGGGTGGCAGGGTGGGGAGGAAGGGGCAGTTGGAGTCTGCAGCTTGGGGACCTCAGGAGGCCCGTGTCCTGTCCCAGGCCTGTGGGGCGAGTCCATCGGGACGGGGCCAGCCTACCTTCTCTGCCCCCCAATGGCATGCACAGTGTCCCCCACCTTCACACTTGGGTGCTTGCCACTTGGGGGCAGGCAGGGAGGTCTCTGTGACAGCTGGGGAAGCCAAGGTCCCCAGAGAAGGCAAGTCTGTGGCGCAGTCAGGACTGGCAAGTTCTGCCACACATGGCCTCCCCCCAGGGCTGGCAGGCCTCCAGGGACATGAGATGGCCAAGGGCTGCAGGCCACCAGGGCTAGAGGCCAGGGAGCCCAGACACCCTGGGCGGTGCCCTGTCTCCCTGGCCTTCTTCAGCTGGTCCGAGGACATGGAGATGATGTGTGCCCGCCTGTGTTGGGGGTAAACACAGGTTCCCAGGAATAGCACAGGCGTCATGGGCCAGCTGGCATCAGATGACCCAGGGCAGTGGCCACTGCAGGGCCCAGGCGTGAGGCACAGGCACTCCTGAGGGGCACAAGCCAGCCCAGTACACCAAGTGCCAGGCCTCTGCACATGGGGGCTCCCAGCATGTGGAGCCCAGTGTAGTGGGACAGTGTCCCCTCCCCTCACCAGGCAGGGTCTCATCTGGGGCACTTGGTGGGGTTGGGAACAAGAGGACCCACCTCTGGCTTGGGCTTCCCAGAACAAAAGGCACCCCAGGACGGCCGGGCCTAAGGGGCCAGGGAGGGTGGAGCACAGTGGGCTCACCAGTCCCGAGGCGGGTCGGGGCATCCAGGCCTGCCCTGCACAGGCCACTCTGGGCTGCAGCCCAGTTTGGCAGCCATGTGGTTTGCTGTGAGGAGGTGGGACAATGAGCACGGTGGCCCCGGTGAGCCTAGCTGCCAAGCAGGCATTGCCCTGGGCTCAGCGTTCCCACTCCAGGGGAGCGAATGCCATCTCAAGGGGCCAACGCTCCAGCCCTGGGGGAGGACTGGGCCTGGCCGGGGGCGGCTCTGGGCGTCAGAGATGGGCAGGACTGTCTTGCTGACACCTCCCTCAGTCAGGCTGGGGCTGGGCAGAGGCAGGGTCCTCGTGTGCAGGACAGGGAACGCAGCTCGCAGCCCTGACTTGGCTTTGACCTGCCCAGGGAGCTGGGGCAGTTGGTGGGATTGAGAAGGGACTGAGACACTAGGGCCAGCCCTGGGTGGGCCCCTTGCCCAGTCCCCCTCCTTGGGGGTCCACTGGGATCTTGATGTCAGGTGGACACCAGGCCCCTGGACATGGTGTTGTGGGCACCATCTGCATGGAGCATGTGTCTCTACTCCTAGCCCCTCCCAGTGCTGGGCCCCAGGGGCAAGCCCTCATTCGGACCCTCCTTCTACTCAGGAGTAACTGATGGACACAAGAGCCAGGCTGAGCGTCTCAGAACATTGCCTGCAGCCTGGGTTGCCATCCAGCCAGCTGGTCCCTTTCTGCAGATGCCCAGTGGCTGCCCTGCTCTGTCTGCTGCTGGGAGCAGGAGGCAGCTGTGGCCTGTTGGAACCAAGGTACCTGAGTCTCAGGTGCAGGGTCCTCCAGGAGGCTCTGGAGAGCCCTCTGTTTACCTAAGATACTAACTGCATCTCCTGCGGGCAGATCAGAAGCCCAGGCCCACTGGCCCTGGGAGAGGAGCAATTTGCATGGCCAATGGGCTGGATCATGCTGTGGGTGGCCAGAGAGGGCCCCATATGATGCGCACTGCACAACTGCAGGGGTACTGTCACATGGCTATGGCATGAACGATGCTCCCAGAGGTGTGGCAGTCTCCAGCACCCCATGTGCCTCCCACCGTCTGCCAGGTGAGGAGGCAGTCCCTGCTCTCAGGAGCATGCGGATGGTGGCCCAGAGCACCTGCCTGTAGTTATCTACACTCGAGACCAGGCCAGGGGCCCAGGGTCAGGGGTGCTGAGGAGTCGACTGGACATCATAGAATGGTCAGTCCCTCTAGACCCTTCCCAAGGCCTTCTCCCTCTATCGTGGAGCCTCAGTTCTGAAGCCCCTGTGAACACTGATGTCCACCTACTGTCCCCTGCCCAGCTGGACAGTCACTCAAAGTGTGGTGGTCAGGAGTTTAAGACGGGATTCTCTCCCTCCTGGACAGATAGAGGGACTGAGGCCTGATCCCACTTCAGAATGGCCTTGCTGACTGCTGCTCCTCCTGCAGTGCCAGGGGTCACTCTCCAGGTAGGGCTGGCGGGCTGGGGAGGTGTGGAGAGGTTAGGTCCAGGCCCTGCAGGCCCTATGTGTGGAGGCTGTGGCCCTGCAACATGGACACCCAACTCTGCCCCTACCCATCCTGTAGCCGAGGGCTGCATGGCCCCTGCCAGCTGCCCTGGAGCCCAAGGCTCGGTCAGCCCGAGACCCAACCCTGGCGCCTGCGTGCTCTCCCCTTCCAGGTGCTCTCTGGGCCATGCACTCACGATCTCCTGCTGCGTGGGGCTGCCACCTGCAGCACCCCACACCAGCGAAGCCTGGGGCTGGACATGGCCCAACTTCCCCAGCTTTGCTCCTGCTGCCCCCTTTCCTGGTGCTGACCTTCCCTTGAAGCCCTCCAGCCTTCATACCTGTATCACCACCTGTGGCACCTCTCTGGGGCCCCTCTCCTAGGCCACCCGGCTCTTACCTTCCCAGCTCTGGGTCACCCTCGCTCTGTTCCGACGTCTGCAGACCCTGGGAACACTGACACCCCTCTGTGGCCAGCACCTCCTCCTTGGAGGCAGCAGGGGAGGCTCTGTGGGTACGGGTGGGCATGTGTGGGTGTGTGCTGAGGGCAGTGCTGAGGTGGGGTGCCAGCTCCCAGGGCCTCTGCCGCAGCTCAGTGACCACAGGTGGTGGGAGAGACCTGCTTCTGAAAGCAACCCCTGGTGTTCCCTGCTCAAGGCTGTGGCCCTTGTTCTCCCAGGACACCCAGGAGCAGCCTGGGGACCAAAGCAAACTGTTTCCAATAACCCCCTTGGGAAAAGCTCCAGAGTACCCTCAAACCACAGGACAGTGCCTGGGATGTCTGCTCTGACCAGCACTGCTGCACCTCAGGACTCACGGGGGAGACCCTGGGGTCCCACGGCCCAACACACACAGCCAGCTCTCCACACTGCCCCAGCCCGCCAGCCCTACCTGGAGAGTGACCCCAGCAGGAGCCAGGGCAAAGCGGCCTGAGTTCACAGTGCTAACCAGGACCAAGCCCCCACAGCGTCCTTGTCCCCCACAGCCAGACAATCAGCGTCCCAGTGCCTTTGCTCACTGCAGGAGGGACGTTGTGCAGCAGTCCTGGGCAGGGAGCCCCCGCACCCACAGGAAGGCTCTGTGGGATGGAGGGAGGATCCAGAGAGCAAGGGCAGGCCAGCGCTGGGGTGCAGCCAGGAGACCTCTCAGTGAGCCCGCCCAAGGGGGCAGCTGGGCTGGGAGGCTGGTCAAGCAACGGAGAAGGAAACGCAGGGACATGGAAAGAGGGAGGCAGGTGGAGGTGCCGAGGGGCTCCTGGGACGCCCTGCATGTCCCTGCCCGGGGAAGAGAGCAGGAGCCCCAGCACCAGAGGTAGCTGGTGCCCCAGGCTGTGACAGAGCAGGACAGGCTGGCTCAGAAAGACCTGGCCTGGAGGGAGCGAGAGGCAGTGAGCAGAGGGTGCCACGGTCCCCAGAGGACCAGAGCCATGCAGCAGAGGTGGGGCTGCTCATGGTGAACGCGGGGGCTGTGAGTGGGTTGGGGACCAGCAGCCCAGCAGAGAGCAGGACCTGCAAGGCAAAGATACATGGTGGGTGTGACCTAAGGCCAGGGGCGCTGGGTGCCACGGGTGTCCCTGGTCCACCAGGACACTCTCTGACTGCAGGCCCCAAACAACTGAGCAGGGAAGCAGGACAGCTGCGGGGCCTGGGGCAGTCCCAGGCCACCACTGGGCAGGCGGAGAGTCAGATCTCGGGGTGAGGTGGGCACACAGTAATGTGTGGGAGCTGGACCTGAAGACTGGACTGTTGGGCAGTGTTGGCAGAGGCTGAGCCAGCACCTGCACCCTCCAGAGGCCAGGGCCACCCTGGGGACAAAGCAGCCACCTAGGGTGAACTGGGCTTCAGGCCAGGTGACCCCCTGGAGCCTAAGGAACCAGCAGCCTGGCCAACTCACTGCAGGGACACAGGCTGGTCCTCTGCCCACCACATATGCGTTCACTGCCCAGTTCCCTTGGCCCCTTCCTGCGTAACCCCGGGGTCCATGGCAAGGTCTGGCCTCAGGCATCCCCTTCTGGCTCTTGCACTCTCTAAGCACAGGGTGGCCTCTGTGGGCCTCTGGCCTGGCCTTCACTCTGCCAGCCTGTGACCCCACAGGGGTGGTCCTCCGGGGCAGAGAAACACGGAGACGTTGGGGAGCCTGGTAAAGGCAAAGAGCCCCATTAAGGGGAGAGGCAAATGCAGGAAGCCAGGTCACTGCACACCTGCAACGAGCTGGGTGCCAGAACCCCATGGGAAAGGGTTCCGGGCCTTGCCTAGAGGAGGGGCCTGGAGTGAAACTCCCAGGTCCAATACCTCCTCCATGGGGGTGAGGCAGGAGAGCAGGCCCTGTCACCAGGAGGGCCTGTGGCAAGAGCTGCGCGAGGCTCCAAAGAGGCGTTACTGTCACTCTTCACTTCTCTGGGCCTCGGTTCCCCGCCTGTAAAGGAGCTCAGAGCGAGGGCTCTGTCTCACCGGCCTGTTAGGAGCCGGAAGAGACAGGGTCCTGGCTCCACTGTTTGCTCCCACTCAGCTAGAGTCCAGGACTCCTCAGCGGGGGAGGCCCAGCTAGGGGAGAGGGCACCTACTGACCCCAAATTCAGGGGATAGGGTCCAGCCTGCTCTGGACTCTGCTCATCCTGTCAAGTGATGGGAGTGGGCAGGACCTGGTCTGCTGACCCAGGTGGCAGGGCAGAGGGACCTGCTCTCAGAACTGTCTCCACAGCCAAGAGCAGAGCCTGCAGCCACGCAGACAGACACTATGTTGAGATTGGCAGGGTCTTCGCACCACTGCAGCATGCAGGGCTGACCAGGGCTGGCAAGTTATATGGAGGGGCCCTGGGTACCACTGGAGCAAAGACAGGCGGGGCCCTGGGACTGGGGTCCCCCGGAGCCATGGACCACTTTATACCCGGGCTGCAGGGGGACAAGGGTCTGTGGCACATGCCCAGGGGCAGAATGTGCAGTGCAGAGGGAGTGGGGATCTGAGGGCCGCTCTGCCCCTAAGGCCCGCAGGGGGAAGGGATGGGCTGGGTTGGCATGGCCTGGGGCAGGAGGTAGAGGTCTCCCCGACCCTGGGAAGAACTTCCCAGGAGCTTCCCATCCCCTGACAGGCAGCTATGGCCAGAGAGCTCGGGCCCACAGGCTGTGGGGAGGCCGTCCAGCTCAGGCCTGGAGCTCAGCAAGGAGTCAACAGAACGGGGGAGGAGCTCCAGCAGGTGCCCTCCTCCCCACCTGGTCAGCAGCACCCTCATGTGCACCACAGCTGACCCCTCTGTGCTGGACACAGCCCACAGGCAGCATGGCTCCAAAGCCCCAGCACAGCACCAGGCAGGGACCCACAGAGACCAGGGTGGTGGCCCCAAGAGTGCACTCCCTGCGTCCAGAACTGTCAGAACAGACTCAGGCAGAGCAGCCCGCAGCTGGCTGAGGCCCCGCCCAGGCCCTCAGGGGACAAAGCCTGTGTCTGGCCTCTGTGGCACACCAGCCACTGGGTCACCCTGGCCAGAAGGCTGTGGCCCCTCCCTCCAGGGCAAGCAGGACCCTCCAGAACTCTCCTTCAGATCAGTACTGGTGGCCACTCCACAGGACAGTGGCTCAGTCTGTGTCCTGCCTCTGCCTGGCTGAGTCACCAGGGTCACTCCCTGCCAGACAGGCAGCTCTCTCTCCCAGCCATGCACTGACCCTGTGTGGTCAGCCAGCTCTGTCCCAGATGTCAGTGGGCCCCAGGTGATGGCTCCTTCCAGAATGAGGAAAGGGGTGTCCTAGGGAGGGACCCTGGATTTCGTGGGGCCCTGGAATCACCCTGAGCTGGGTCGTCCCCTCTAGGGAGGGACCGTCACTCCTATGGTATGCCCCACCCCCTGAGGATCAGGTGTGTCCAACTCAGCGACTTGTATTTATAGCTCTGGCTCTGGCCACCTGGGCGGGGGGAGTGGGCAGGGTGTCAGGTGGAAGAGGGGGCTGATTGTGTGCGCAAGGGTGCGTGTGTGCGTGCGTGCCTGGGTGGGGGCCGCTCCTGGAGCAGGTGCTCCTGGAGGGAAGGAATCCAAGAAGTTGACCCAGCCAGAGCACGGGAGGACAGGGTCCGTCTGGGTCCCGGGGAGGGGGAGGGGCTCGCTGGGCGCGATGGGGAGGGACCCGGCGCCCGGCCCGCACCTGGCAGCGGCTGACGATGTCGGCGTCCGTGGCCAGCAGGTCCACCACCTTGCCTTTGCCCTCGTCCCCCCACTGCGCGCCCAGCACCACGGTCACGCGGGAGCCGGTCGCCGCCGCCTCCTGCTGCATCCGCCCCCGCTTGACGCCGCCCGCGCCGGGGGGCCGGTCGTTGGAGGCTCGGGTCCCCGACATGCTGGCTCGGCTCGTCCGCTGCGCTGGGCTGCCCGGGAGCCCGCCGCGGCCCGCGTGCCCGCGCCATTAAATGCCGCCGCCCGGGGCGGGGGGCGGGCCGGGGGCGGGTCCGGGCGCTCGCGGTGACGCGCCTCGGTGACCTGCGGCCCTGCGGCTGCAACTACCGCCCCTTGGTCGCCGCTGCCCGGGAGCGCGACGGGTGGTGGGTATGGCGGAGGCGCACCGACACACAGCAGTGGAAACCGGTGTCCCGCGCGCGACCCCCGCAGGTGAGCCTGTCCTGCCTGCAACCGGGATCGCTGTGCTTCGTCCCCGCCCCGCCGGACTTGCCAGGCCCAGGACTTCAGGGTTCGAAACTGCGGTGGTGGCTCTCCCCTACTGGGCGCGAGTGTGGTTTGCAACCGGGGCTGCGTCTTCGCGCGCACCTGGAGGGTCCTCTCTCCCTGCCTCACTTGCCCGCCGTAAACCCCGGAATCCTCGGACGGGCGCGCGCCCCCTAGCGGTTCTGGAGAGACGCGCATGGCGCCCTCTCTCAGGTCAGTGTCGTCCTCTATGCACTGTACCGGCCCGGGGCACTGTTGCGCTGGGTCTGGCTGTAGCGTGCAGGTGGGCTGCAGCACCCAGCCCTCAGTAGCCAAATTTGGGGTAGAGGGACCACGCTGTCAGGGTCACCTGATGTGCACCACGTCAAGGTAGGGCCTAGGTTTCCAAGAGCCTCCAGACCAGACCTCCCTCCTTTCCCAGAGGAGGGACTGAGGGCCCAGAGCGTTGGCCACGTTCTGCTGGCGCCTGTGCGCCCGGTTGGGTGCACTGCTCACACCCCTCAGGTGGACCTAGCTTGGAGGGCTAGCCTGTGACTGTAGGCCTGGAGGAGGCTAGCCCAGAGCTGGAGAGGGGGCCTCGAAAGGGCCCAGGCCTGGGAGACACTGCCTTCCTTCTCTCCCTGGGGGCTCCCTGTGCAAAAGGGCCCGAAGCTGACTGGCTCACTTGTGGATGTGGCTCACAGAGCTGCCAGGGCCCTTGGGCTCCTGAGGTGGCTCTCAGGTCCATGGTAAGGAGTCCAGGGTGACTGGACAGTGTCCATGAGGAAGGATGTGGACCCTTGGCTTGTCCCAGAATAGGAGAGTGCTGCAGCCCCTGCCCTCCCCCTCCTGTGGCCTCTTCACTCTCTTCTTCCCCCTCCCCCCTGGAGACCTAGCCCCGTCCCCTCAGCCTGTTCCAGCCACATAGTCTGCACCAGCTGCCCTTGCCCTGCTCCTGCTGGGGCAGGTCCCTCTGGACACTCCCTGTCCCTGGGTTGCTGTGGTGTGAGAATGCCTCCTGGGGTTGCAGCAGTCCGGGGGCCTGGAACTGGGAGACCACACTCCCAGGAGAGAGCTGCAGCCTTTCCACATAGACCGCATGACCTGGCCTTGCTCCAGGGCAGTGGTGAGGCAGGGCAGAGGGCCCCTCCAGGGAGGCAGAGCAGGCTGAGGTGCAGCTGGGGGTGCAGCAGACAGGAAGGACAGGGCCTTATCAGGGGAAACCGGGGTGGCGTGCCAGGGCTTCGTGTCCAGGAGAGAGGAATTGGGCCTGTGAATGCCCAATTTAAATGCACATCAGACAAAGGGTGCTTGCCCTTGTCCCACTGGGCACTAGCTCTCCTCACTGGGGAGACCCTGGGCTCAGGGTCAGTAGGTGTGAGTCAAGATTTGGAGGAACCAGGAGCCACCTTGATGGCCCTACCATGGGGGCTTAAACAGGCAGTTCAGGGCCAAAAGCTGGCCTGGGGCACTGATTCCCCCAGGCCTGAGACTATAAATAGCCATGGGCCCGAATGGGGGGGCAGGGCTTTTCTAAAAACAGCCCTGTCCAGGCCCCACAGCTGAGGCCCAGACAGTCACATGGCCCTTCCCAAATTAGAACACACCCCCCCCCCCCCCCCCGCAGCAGGCCTGTCACCACAGTGGGCACCACAGCAATCCCAAAGCCGGGGACTCCCAGCCTTGAAGCTGTGCACTCAGACAAGTGGCCTCAACACCACATTGTGGGCCCAAGGGCCACCATGGAACGATGTCACAGATGGTGGCCAGGACACACACAGATGCTTGCACCTACGCAGCATCCATGAACTGGCTCTGAGGCAGGGACCCAGCTCCCGCTGGGTTGGTGTTTGCCCTGGTTGTAACCTGCTCAGCTGATGTGGGGGGAGGGCAGTGAGGACAGGGCCCTGGAGGCGCCTCACTGTGGGCCGCCTCCCCACCCCTGTAGGGAGGAGGGTGGGGGCCCCACAGGGCACACAGTCCAAGCTGCGTCCTTCACAAAAGTGACGGATGGGTGGAGACCAGGCACGCGGTCTGGAGCCTGGAACAAGGCAGCCAGGGACTGCGACGTGCCCGCAACATGGCAGAGCGAACCTCGGAAACAGGCAACAGGCCAGCCACAGAAGGTCATGTCCAACCTCCCTCACACGAGTGTCCAGCAGAGGCAAACCCATGGGCACAGGAAGCCGGTGGGGCCTGCTCATGGGAACACTGGGCTCTCCGGAAGCACCCCAGGCCTGCTGGTGGTGGCTTCATGGTCCTGTAGACAGCCAGGGCTCACAGTGGGCACAGTTTGCAGGATGCAAGTCATGCCTGGCCCATGCTGTGGTCAGGGACTGCCCACCACCTGGGGGCCTTGTCCTGTGCCATGGGGGAGCAGGCAGGCCTGCTTTCCCACTTCCCCAGGGCCCCCAGGCCCTCACAGCTGCTCTGGAGTGAACACGTCAATGCACGTTTCCATGAAGCAGAGAGGGCTGCTGCTGGCCATCGAGGAGGACCACCGTGTGCCCTCAAGGAAAGCAGAAGTCTAGCACCAATCTCAAGGTAGTGGTGGCCTGCCCGTGTTGGACAGGCTCTCTGGACAGTGCCCAGGGAAGTCCTGGGAGAAACTGGCTAAACCCAGGTGGCTGGGCAAAGGGCAGATGGACAACAGCTGCTTTGAGAGGCAGGGAGGGCTGAGTCTGGCTCAGCAGGCTTCCAAGTGTGGGCCCGGGCAGTGGCTTGGGAGGCACCGTGCCTTGTTCCCTTCTGGGTGGGCGCGGCCCAGCTTGAAGGAGCCTTGCAACAGGGCACCCTGCCTGCCTCCCTTCACCAGGAGACCTGAGGGGCCTGGGTGCAGGTGCTCGGGCCCGATGGCTGCTCAAGTGTGCAGCTGGCTCTGCAGGCCCCGGCCCAGCAAACCTGACAACCGGGGCAGCCACAGCCAGGCCTGCTTGGTTTTTTTGGGAATTGAACCCAGAGGCACTTTACCACTGAGCTACCTCCCCAACACCTTTTAGTTTTTATTTTGAGATAGGGTCTTGCTAAGTTGCTCAGGCTGGTCTCAAACACGCAGTCCTCCTGCCTTAGCCTCTTGAGTCACTGGGATTGTAGGTGTGGGCCACCATGGCTGGCTGCGGCACTGATATATTTTTAAGCTGTAGATGGACACAATGTCTGTATTTTATTTATTTTTATGTGGTGCTGAGGATCGAACCCAGGGCCTCACTGCTGTGGTCAGGGACTGCCCACCACAGTTATTTACACGTGCTAGGTAAGTGCTCTGACACTGACCAACAGCCCGGCCCCTAATTTTTAAAAAATTTAATCTAGAAGGTGTTTGCTTCAAACCCCTGCACTGTCTCAACCTGCCACCCCTCCCTCTGTCCCTCCGCCCACTCTCCACAGGAAGAGTGCTGAGGGGGTGCCTGCCCTCCGCCCCAAATTCCCTCTGGTATAAGTGGGCGAGGCACCTGAGGGCGGTTCTGGAGATGCAGCAGACTCCAGTCTGGACCAGGGAGAGCCCTGTCCCCCTCTGCTCCACCTCCTGCTCCCCTCTCCACAGGGCAGAGACCTTGCTCACCATCCCCTGCCCCGCCTGCTATCCCACCCACTCCTCCATCTGCCTGCCCCTCTCTTCCCTCCGCCATCCCCCCAGCTGTTGGGAAGGCACCGTAAGTACCCCTCCACCCAGCCCACGGCTCGGAACACATGGTCACAGCTGACCAGGCTTGGTTTTTATTGGTCAAGAGTCCCTGCTGGCCTCCAGCCTCCTCAGCACACACCTGGGGGTGGGAGGAGGCAGGGCCGGGCTGCCCCTCACAGGGCAGATACTGAGGAGACCCCAGCAGCTGCTGAGAGCCACCATGTGGCTGCGCAGGTGGACCCTCCCCATCCCTTGGGGCCAGCCCAGCGCAGGGTTGGCAGGCCTGGCTGTGTCCAGAGGCAGACCCCTCCCTACCTCCAGGGGCCAGAAACGGAGGGGACCTTGGCCTGCCCACAGCAGGGCCCGCCTCACCCTAGGCCTGGAGCCCCCTCACCGTCCCCAAGCCAGCTGCCTCGGAACAGCAAGGCCTCAGGGGACAGCATTCCAGTTAAAAAGCGGCTGAGCAGTGGGAAGCTGGGCAGGGGCGCTGTGCCCACTACAGGCCCAGCTCCCGAGGGCCGTGGAGGCGATGCAGGCAGATGGGAGGAGCCCACTGTGGCACATGCAGGTGCAGGGCTGGGTGGTGGCTGAAGAGCAGACCACCAGGTGGGCGTGCAAGAGGCCCAGGGGGGGAGGGCGGGCCCAGGGCATGGGTGCCTGCGGGGTTCCAGCCAGGACGACCCAGGGAGGCTTCCGGAGGCCCTGGCTGGGCAAGGCACGGAGGTTTGGTTCTCAGGGGCTCAGTCCCAGCCTGGCCCTGGAAAGCTTCATTCATTTCTAACATTACATCCAGCTGCCCGCTGCTGTGCCCAGGCTGCCCAGGACTCTCTCACTTGGCTTTGGGCTTGGGTCTGAGGCCTGTGGAAAGGAAGAGAAAATGACATCATAAGAAACTATCTTGCTGGGGACGACTCTGGGTGCCCTCTTCAGGGTCCTAGGCCCCTGCACTCCTCTACAACCATTGGCAGGACTGAGTTATGTATCCCAGGTCCACTCGGACCCCAGGGTCTTTCCCTGGGGCAGCAAAATTTATCCAGGTGGAAGGTACCTACATGATGTGAGCAGGAGGCACCTGTGGAGGGCCCGTTTCCACAAGGCTTGGTGCCCTGAGCTGTATCCTCTGCTGAGATGGGACCACGTGGCTCAGCTCCCCCATGTCCACACTCACTGATCCTACCTGGAGCTCCCTCCATGCCTGCCCCTCCTGGCCCCTCTGCTGGACTCTGTCCTGCCTGTTCTCCATTGCATGCTGAGAGCCCCAGGGCTCAGTGCCCGCAGTCCCCTCAGCTGGATCGCCTCCCTGCTGACCCCACAGGTGCCCTGTCCCCGGCACCCTGGGCTCCTGTCTGTGGCCTTTACTCAGCTATCCCAAGAGCCCTCCCTTACTGCCACCCTGGTACAGGGGACAGGCAGTATCCTGGCCTCCCCAGGGGGACCTGGGTTTGAAAACCCAATGTTCAAAAGAGACAGTGAGCAGGAGCAAAGGTAAAATCACTCAGGGGGACTTCAGGACCCTCCCACCCCAGGGAACCAGACAGGAGGGCACTGCAGGCTGGGCCCAGAGTAGGGGTGCTCAGAGAACGGGGGGCTGCTGACCCAGAGGCACAGGAAAGGGCCGGGCTTGGTGGAGCACCCTGCACTGAAGACAGAGGCAGCAAAGGAAGGGGAGGAGACCTAGAAGAGACGATGGGCACCCTGCTGCAGGATGGCAAGGGGGGTGTGGCTCTGGTGGCACCCCAGCTGTAGCCTTGCATCCTGGGAGGTCTGTGGCCACCACCGCCTCAGCCACAAGTCAGCGTCACGTCAGCACAGAGCCCAGGCCCTCCCGGCGCCCTCTGCTGGGGTTCCTGTCCCCACCGGGGGAGGCCACCCAGACACACCAGAGCCACGGGATCTCCCAAAACATCAGAGGAGACAAGAGGCAGGACCTGCGGAGCGGAGGGCACTGAGTAGTGACTCCAAATACCCTGGCTCCGGACAGAACCTCGCCTCCAGAGACACCAGGCACCCCCTCTGGGAGGTGCTGTGGGACACGGGCCGTGTCTGCCTAGCTGCTCTGGTGTCTGGGGTGCACCGTGGGCCTCCGTGCTTGGCAGATGTCACTGTGCTAGGGTTTGGAGTGAGGTGTCCCCCAAGGGTCCACGTGAGACAACACAGGAAGGTCAGAGGAGACACGACCGGGCTGCGGGAGCCTCAGCCAGAGAGTCAACCCCCTGGCGGGGTTAACTGAGTGGTGACTAAGTGGTGGCTGTGGCTGGGAGGTGGCCCTGGGCGTGGCCTTGGGTCTCCATTTTGTATCTGGAGAGAGGAGTCTCTGCCTCCTGGTCACGTGTCAGCTGCTTCCCTGGGCCACACTCTTCGGCCATGATGTCCTGCCTCATCTTGAGCCCCGAGGAGTGGGGCCTGCTGTCTCTGGTCTGAGGCCTCTGAAACCGTGAGTCCCCAAATCAACTTCTCCTCTACAGTTGTGCTGGTCGAGTCCCTTTAGTCACAGCAGCAAAAAAGCTGACTAACACACCCTGGGTGACGAGGGGCAGCCTCACGCCACCCACACTCTCCCATGGCCCTCCAGCCTGGCGGGGGGCAGCACAGGGCTGGCGAGGCTAGGCGTTGCCGTCTCTGCACTTCTGGGCACTGTCGTCCTGATCTTGTCAATGTCCTGTCGGGGCCACATTTTCCCAGAGAGCTGGGACACTAGAAGGGCAGGACTTCTTCCTGGGGCCCCAGTCACCCAGGTGGTGGTTCTCTGGGGACGACAGAAGTGCAGCAGGTGCAGACTGAGCCAGGGTGGCACTGGACCGGGGCCACGTGTCACTGCCAGCCCTCCAAGCCCACAGACTACATGTTCCCACTGTCCCCTAGGCCAGGGCAGCGGCTGGGAGAAGAGCTGTGAGGACACAAGCTAGCTTCTGAGGGGAACTGGGTGACCTGAGAGCCCAGCTCAGAGAGTAGCCCCAGGCAGCAAAGGCTCGGGCCAAGCGTAGGTGGGCCGCGCAGCGAGGGCCGACTGACTGTAAAGAGAAGCACACCTTCTGGTCTCCACTGGTCTGGCCACCGCACAGCAGACCCCACCCAGAGCCTAAATCCCGAGCATCAGGCCTGGCCATGTGCAGCGTGGCCAGATGTGGCCACCCGAGCGGTGCTGTGGGTGCTGGGCCCCTCAGCTGAGCTCACGGAGTTCGTGGCTAGCCGGGCTCTCTGCCCTCCCTCAGACATGGGCCAGGCACCCGCGGGGCCAGGCTGCTCTAGCTGCATCTCAGCCTCCTGGGCACATCCACTGCCCTGGCTGTCCTGTCCGTATGCGAGCCCTGGAGACCAGCTGACACACACTGCACCTAAACAGCCTGCAGTCTCAGGGACCTGGCCACAGCGCAGAGGGGGCCTGTCCACCCTTGTCCCTAGCAAGGACAGCATCTGCCCCTGGCACTATCCCGGTCTCCTTAGAGTCTCCCTGGGAGTGTGCTTGGCCAGCACCTGGGCCACAGCAGGACTGCAGTGGACCTGGGAGGCCCAGCCTTGGGTGCCGACTTGGAGTGAAGGTGTGGGCTCAGCAAAGCTGCAGGTTAGCGGGCAGCAGTTAGGGCTTAGACGTGGGGTAGGAGCAACCTCAGCCTGTCCTGCTGGCCAGGAGATGAGGCCACCCCCAAAGACCTGGCACTGTGTCCACGGGGGCCCAGAGTCCTGGAGGGAGCCCGGCTTGGTGCTGTCCACCCGCCCTCTCGAGGCCGCGTGCCTGGGCCAGCTCTGAGGTTGCATCCTGTGCTAGCAGAGGAGGCGGCAGGAAAGCGAGGCTAGGCAGCCTGGCCCTCCCCGGCAGGGAGGGCGGGAAGGAGCCCGCCACCAAGGCCTGGGCATTTACGCCCAGGAGGCTGGAGGGAGGCCAGGGTTAGCATCCTGCAGGCTGAGGCCCAGCGCCCGCTGCCACCGTTAGTCCACAGGCGCCAGCGTGTACATACCTCACTGGACGGCACACAGTCTTTTTGTTACATTAGCGTCAGAACCAGGGGCAACTTCTGCTTTCAAATAAGAGAAACTACTCTCAGCACTTGTCACAGGGGAGAAGCCCTGAATGAGGCACCTGGGGGCCGCAGGACCAGGCCAGCCTCACCAATGTCCCCAGGACGATGTGCCACTGGGGTCCAGTGCCCCAGTTCTCTGGCCACTGAGCCCAATGCATCTCATGCCAGTCCACCCTGCACAGCCTCTGGCTGCAGCCGCCCTGCCCCCAGGCCCTGTGGGAGTGGGAGTGGGGCAGGGACAGTGGGTCAGGGGAGCAGCAACCTGTCAGCGGAGGCCCCCATAGCTGCCCGCCTGTGTGCGGCTTGCTTCCCTGGGCGGTGCGCCCAAGACTATTCAACCCTCTCCAGGGTGGGGTGGCGCCTGCAGCACCCCTGGAGAGGACAGGAGAGGGGCCGCTGGCAGCAGGGAGAGGCCGGGGCCCGTGTGGGGCGCAGAGCTTGACCACAGGCCGGCAGCCCTACCTGCGCTGGCCTGGCCCCAAGTTACCTTCCTGGCTCCTTGAGGGACGCTTCTTCCTTCTCTTGCTTGTCCCCTTTGAGGCCCGGCCTCGGGACCTGGGGAGGGTGCCAGACCCCGAGGAGTCTGTCACTGCGTCCTCGGAGAAGGACTTGTCCAAGGATGTGTCCAGTGCAGACTCAGGGGCTGTGTCTTCCTCATCCTCGTCCCCACCAGGGCCTGTGGCAGGGAGGCCAGCACTTTGGCCCTGGACAGCTGTGTCCTCTGGTCCTTGGCCTGTGCCGTGTGCCTTGGCCTGGTGGACGCCCTGCAAGCCTCCAAGCTCCTCCGGGTCCTGGCTTGAACTCTCGGCCCCGGGGGGCTTGTCTCCAGAGAACTGGAGGGGCTTCAGGGCCCGGCTGTCTCCCAGAGTCACTGGCCAGGCCCCCTCGGGAGGCGGGGGATTCAGCGTGTCCTCGGGGGCCAGGAAGTCGCTGGCATCCACGTACCAGGAGGAGCGCCTCTCCAAGGGCCGCGGACTGCCCTCCTCCCCAGGGGGCCCTGGGCTGGGAGTCACGGCATCCACAAGGTCCCAGCCCTGTGGTCTCCCAGCTGCGGCAGCATCAAGGCCCAGCTCAGGGGCGGGGTGGCTGGCATCCCCACGGGGGCTCTGTGCAGGGTCACTGGCGGCTGCTGTAGATGGAGGGACGCGTCAGTGAAGGGCCAGCCCAGCCCCTCCCTGGACAGCCCTCCTGACCCCCAGGCGCATCTGACTCCTTAAACTCCACTGTTTCAGGGGTCCCCATGTGTGGCTTCCCTCAGGCTGGACAGGGTCCTGCATCCTCACTCTGCCCACAACATGGACAACAGAGGGCACCCAAGGGGCCACATGAGCCACCCCTGTCCCCAGATCCTGAGGTGGCCACCTGGGAATGGGGGCCTCTCCCCGAGGCCTGTCTGTCCCACCACCTCAGGTCCCCGAGCCCCAGGGACGCAGTGGGCACCATCCCCCATGTCTCCTGGCTGCTCAGAGGCTGGACAGACGCACCCACCCAGGGCCGCCCCCTTGCCGCACGGTCAGAGCTGCCCCCTGCTGTCCCCTCCCTCCAGTGCCCCCAGGGAACCCAAAGAGAGGAGGAGGGCCAGGGTCTCACCTGGCACTGTGGCCCGCGGGAGTTCTGCTGAGGCCTTGCTGCCCACCTCGCTGTCCCCCCGGCCTCGGGCCGTCTTGCGCAGCTGGAAGCCCTTCCTGATGTCGGCCAGCAGGGCATCGATGACACACACCTCCTCCTGCCTCCCAGGGCCCTTCCTGACTGCGGAGCCAGAGACGGGCAGAGAGCTGCTCTCAGCCGCAGGAGAGGCTTGGGGCGGTGCTCTGGGGGGAGGCACCCCACCTGGCCCTGCCCCCCAGGCCTCACCAGGCTTCCCATCCTCGCCCCGCGGCCTCCGTGCCTCCTCCTCTGCCAGCTGCTGCTTCCTCCTCTCCGCCTTTGCCACCTGCTCCTTCCTGTCCTTGTTCTCCTGTGCAGGCAGACAGGAGCCCCGTTGCCCAGCTCTCCAGCCCCCAGTCACCCTGTGAGCCTTCGGTGGGCATGTCCCCCTCCCTGGGCTGCAGGGGCACCAGGGAGAGGCCAGGCTGGCTCACGTGGCTGGACCCACCCACACGCCCTAGACTGAGGGCAACTCTGCCCGGGGCCTTTCCTGGCTCACCTTCAGGGCACGGGTGAAGAGGTCCCGGAAGGTCTTCATGGTGCTGAAGGTGTCCTCCAGGGACAGCTGCTGGGGGTCCTCACACAGGTAGTCGGCCAGCTCCAGCTTCTTCTGCTCGATGGTCTCAAACACGTCGTCCAAAGCCTGGGAGGCCGCGATGCTGTCCTGATGGCAGGGGCTTGGTCACCACCCAGGGCTCCCAGGCTGGGCCCAAGGGTAGGGTGGGACCCCCCTGCATCAGGAGGTGGCAGCCACAGCCTCCAGGCACAGGGGTCAGCCCAGGACCCATGTGGGGGAGCCCAGCCGGCAGGCTGGCTGCCAGCCCCAGGGCCCCTGCTGCTTGCCTGGAGGCGCTGGGCATACTGCTCCTGCACCTCAGGGTCAGAGGTGGACACCTTCCGCTCCGTCCCCAGAAGCTTCTTCATGTTGGTGCTGGCTTCGGAGCGGATAACCTCCAGGTTGATTCTGAAAGGCGTCAAAGGGTTGGGCCTGGTCAGCGGGTAGCTGAGATCCAGCCACACTGCGACTGTGGGGCCCTGCCCACACCCTACTGGGGCCTTAGGCTTCGTACACTCCAGGTGCCAGAGACCCGGCCCGCCGGTGCCTCGTGGTGGGGACCAGAGCTCAGGGCTGAGGTCTGGCCTGGGCTGCAGGGGTCAGGCTGGGGAGAGCTGCCTACCCTGCGGCCTGGGAGGGCTGTGCCAGGTCCTGGGGCAGCTGCAGGAGGTCAGGGTGGCTCTGTTCCACTTCCTGCAATGGGATGCATCTATGAGACCCTACTTGGGCCCCCCACGTACCTGGGGATGCCCCTGCCCCGGCTCAAACTCGGAGCAATGAGGCCCAGGAAGTCCTCAGCCCTGGGGCCCTCCTGGGTCCTCTGGACCCTTCCCTGTGGCCTGGCTATGATCTTGAGGAGGTGTGATTTGCCTTGGGGCTGCCTCACTCCCAACAGGGGTGGGTGTCCTGGGGCGGGATGGAGGACCGTCATGGCACGGGGACTGCAGGAGGGAGGCGTGCTGGGGAGGGGCCGTGGCGTGGCTCCTGCAGGCTGGAGGGAGTCCGGGGAGGCTGGGGTGGGGGCTTGGGCAGCCTGCCCGTCCTGCTGGGCCCACCTCCAGCACGTGGTGCAACAGCGTCACCCGGTTCTGCTGCGACTTGGTCTCTGTGAGCTTCAGCAAGGTGCTCATCTTGAAGCCATCAGCGTCCCCGGTGTGGCTGCCCTGGGAGGGACCGGGAGTGAGTCTCCCTGTCACTCCGGGGCCTAGAGGGCGGAGGGGCAGGTCCCTGACTTACATAGTTGAGGAAGTTCCCGATTTTCAGGATCAGTTGGCAGAAGACAGGCAGCCGGTGACTGGTGAGCAGGCCTGCGGGCGGGCAGGGCTGAAGGCGGGCACAGAGGCCCCAGGGCCCAGGTGCCCTGGCGTGGGGTCTGTTCCTCCCTCCCCACCCTCAAGCCCCTTGCCCCAACTCAGCCCAACATGGGAGAGAACACGGGGCAGGGGCTCAGTGGGCATGAGCCCTTCATCACCAAGCTCAGAGGCTCTGGGGCGGAGGTCTTCTGGACCCTCACAACCCCTGGGACAGATGACCACCACCTGTTCTTCCACTAGGGCCACCAGGGTACTGGGAGGAACCTTCTGGAACCCTCAATGCCCTCGTTCTCAGCTAAGCACCCCTCTGGGCAGCAGGGAGCCCTCCTGGCTCAGTGGCTGAGATGGGAGGGGACGTCCACTGGGCCTTGGTCATCGGGTCCCACCTGTGTCCCTGTTCTGTGGTTTGGCAGACCCCTGCCCATTCCTCACAGGTGGCAGTCTGCATGTGCACCTGTGTCTGCGTGTGTGTCTGACAGGTGTGTGCATGTGCGTGTGTGTGTGTGAGGTGTGTATGTGTCTGAGGTGTGTGTGTCTCACACGTGTGTGTCTGACAGGTGCATGTGTGTGTATGTGTGTCTGAGGTGTGTGTGTGGGTCTGACAGGTGTGTGTGTGTGGTATGCATCTGAGGTGTGTGCATGTGTGTGTCTGACAGGCGTGTGCCTGTGCGTGTGTGAGGTGTGTGTATGTGTCTGAGGTGTGTGCGTGTGTCTCACACGTGTGTCCATGTGTGTGTCTGACAGGTGCACGTGTGTGTGTGTGTGTGGGTCTGACAGGTATGTGCACGCATTAGTCTGCCCTCGCTTGTGCCTGTGTGTGCAGGACACCGCGTGCGCATGTGTGTCTGATGCCTTTGTGTCTCTGGCGGGGGCAGCAGTGGAGACAAGGTGGTCTCTGTGAGGTGGGGGTGGGCACCCCATGGGCCCTCTGCAGCTACCACAACTCGGCCTAGAGCAGGAGCCCCCGCCCCCAGGCTCCCAGCCCCACTCACTCTCACAGGCGGCGAGCACCAGCTGGGCCTTGGGTCGCACCATGTCCAGCACAATGGCCGTGCCCTCACACAGCAGCATGCACTCCAGCCGCAGCTGGTAGCTGTCCGGGCAGAGCAGGGGTCAGGGCTGGGGGCTCCCAAAGCCTGCCTGACTCTGCAGTGTAGGGGCTCTAAGAGTCCACTGGGCACAGAGTTGGTGGGCAGGGCAGAGGAGGGGTCCCACAGCCTGGACCCTTCCACATGCTCTTTAGGGTCTGCCCCAGGATGAGGTGGGCCCAGGCAGGGGCCTAGGGAAAGACCCCATTCCCCTAGAGCCAGGGCAGCCTGGGCTGGAGAGGCCTTCTCAGGAAGACCCTGGTCTTCTTGGGAGCCCCAGAGCCCCCTCTTTGAGGGAATGGGTGGGGGATGTGGGGCAGGAGCGATGTTGGCAGCCAGACAGCTGTCCAGGGCCCCTCTGCCCTCTCCCTCCCTGGGTTCTGGGCAGGCTACTCACCAAGGAATGTCCAGCAGGAGGACGTAGAACTGGTCGGCGTTGGCCAGCTTGGCTCGCTCCTCTGTGAATGTCCTCAGGTTTTCGATCTGCCAGAGGAGACCGCGTGTGGGCCGGTGTGCGCGCCAGCCCTCCTCCTCAGGAAGGCCTCCGGGGCTGCTCCCAGCCTCCACCACCTGCAGCTGTGCCGCCTGGGGTGGACAGGTGCTGGGACCCTCCCTGCTGCCTGCTCGGGGGCCAGCGTCCCAGCTCACCTCGTGCTTCTCTGGAAGTAGTTTCAGGAGCTGTTTGAGAACCTCCACGTCAAACTTGGTGGTGTCCCCAGCCCGGATCATGGCGGTGACCTCCTCGTTGGAGCTGAAGGGGTGAGGGGAGGGGGTCACGTGACGATGAGGGGAGGGTCCAACGGCTCACTCCCTGTCAGTATCCCCCTTCCAGAGGGCTGCTTAGGAGACGGGGTGGGTGACACAGCTCAGGGTCACCCAGTGAGCTCCTGCAGGGGCCGGTGCCTGAGCTGCAGCATGGCAGAACCTGGGCTGGGAGGGGGACCATGTGACTGACTGGCCACCGCTTGTCCATAACCTGGGGGGAAGTCCTGGATGCTCTGGGCCTTTTTCCTCAAGAGCCAGGACTGGCGGCCTCTAGGGTCTCCTGCCCTGGGGAAGGAGCATGCACTGCCCCAGAGTAGCCCGCAGAGGGCGCTGCCGGCCGGGCTGGCCGGAGAGGCTCACCACTTAAACTGCTTCAGGAAGATGTTGAGGTTCAGGCTCTTCTTGGAGTCAAGAAAAGTGACCTGGAAAACCGCCACATGAATGGGTCCCAGGGGGTGACATGGGGGGACCCTGATGATCCTTGCCCCATGCCTACCTCCTTGGGCTCCTTCCTGGCTGGGGCAGCTGTGGGCTCCTTGGGCTTGGCCACGGGGAAGGAGAAGAGCCGCTCAATGCTGGAGAAGTCAGGCTCCACCACATCTGTGCCAGGGCTGCTGAGTGTCGCCCACATGGAGTTGCGCTCTGCAGGCGAGGGGCAGGAGAGGGGCACCACCATCAAGCTCACACCCCCTCCCAGGTCTGGGGGGCCAGGGCCAGGTGGGCCAGGCCTCTGAGGGCTGTCAAGGGTACCTTGCCTGGACGCCGTCCTAGGCCAAGCATACAGCAGGCGTTTAATAAGTGCCTGGCAAAGGAAGACCTCTGGCTGCTATTCTACTCTGTGCATGTATGTGGACATGCACTCATGTATCCACATGGTAGGTGACCTGCCCTGTCTGGCCTTGGCTTTCTCTGAGCATCAGCACCCCAGGACCCAGGGTGCCAGGCACAGGGTTGGGCAGGGGCTGTAGTATCAGAGATGCACATTGCCCACAGGACCAGAGGGACCTCAAAGGAAGCCTCTGCCTTGCTCCGGCCCTGCCCGACACCAAACCACATGAAACTGAGCCCGGGCAGGACCCAGGCTGCCCTGGCCATGCAAGAGTGGGCAAATGCAGGTGCACCACCCCTCCCCAGCACCTCTCGTGTGGCACCAGCCTTCGGGCTCCGCAGCCTCACCTCGGGCCACGTTGGACGGAAGTTTCTGCCAGTTCAGTTTCTTCATGCGCAGTGTGGGTGGGTTCACCCTGCGGTGGCTGGGGACCCAGGCCGAGCCCAGGCTGTGGTCCACGTGGGCCACAATGAGCTCTTCCACGCCACCCGCAGGCAGGGTTGGAGGTGGAGGGGGGCCCCAGCCCCCTCCAGGCGGTGGGGGGGGGAGTGGAGGAGGTGGTGGGGGCAAGATCCCGCAGGAGCCAGGCAGGGGAGGTGGCAGAGGGGGTGCTGGGGGAGACATGGCCCCCAGGCCTGGCAAGGGAGGTGGGGGTGGGGGCAGTACTGGGGGAGGCGTGGTCCCCAGGTCTGGCAAGGGAGGTGGAGGGGGTACTGGGGAAGGAGTGGTCCCCAGGTCAGGCAAAGGAGGTGGGGGTGGAGGGGGTGCTGGGGGAGGAGACATGGATCCTAGGCCTGGCAATGGAGGTGGAGGGGGTACTGGGGGAGACACAGCTTCCAGGCTTGGCAGGGAAGGTGGGGGTGAAAGGGGCCCAGGGCTGGAACTGGGGAGGGGCGGTGCGGGTGGAGGTGGGGGGTGTGCTGGCTGCTGGGGGGCTGTCTCCCCACTGGGACTCTGGAGGCCAACTGGGTGCTGGTGGGCAGGAGCTGCGGCCTGCTGCTGACCCTCCATGCCAGCCATGGGAGCAGTAGTCTTTGGGGGGGACCTGTCCCTTGGACTCTGGCCTAGGTTGGCCTGGATGCTCTTGTGGGCCTTGTCCAGGGAGGTGGGTCGGGGCCTCCCTCTGCTGAACAGCAGACGCTCAGCCACCTCCTCCAGGGTGCATTCCTGGGCTGCAGCAGGGGAGATGTCCAGGGTTAAGAGAGAGGGCTGGGGACAGAGACAGAAGGAGGCCACCTCCCTCAGACAAGAGGATGGGTTAGGGGTCAGGGTGGGCCTCCCCACATGGTCTAAGACCTGCTTCTTCCCACCAGGTTGACCCCTCTGCCTGCCTGGCTCACCCCGCTGCTCACCATCACTGGCCAGGAGCACGGCCCGGTTCACCAGGCTCTCCAGGGCCTCCCAGAGCAGCTGTCCTGAGCGGCTGGTGGGCTCCAGGTGCAGGAGGCCTTGTAGCACTGACAGCAGCTGGGCTGACACCGGAGAGCAGCTCACCTGAGCGGGGCAGGCCGACCAAGGGCAGGTCAGTGGCAGTGCCCTCCTCTGCCTGTCTGCCAAGGGCGTCCGTCCCCACTGACCCCTTCACATAGCTGAAGGCCTGGTGGCGAGCAACTCAGAGACAGGGTTCTTTGTGTTACTGGTGACTCTGGGGACTGTTTGGTGCATTATGGGATATTAAATGGCATCCATGGTTTTCACCCATTTGATGCCAGGAGCATGCCCTGCCTAGTAGTGACCAAACAAAAATGTCTCCGATGTTTCTGGGTGGTGCAGAGTCAGTGAGCTAGAGGGAGGGCCTGGGTGCTCTCAAACTCAGTCTCCTAGACTCTCAACTGGCCCTGTAGTTCCCTAAAGTCCTCTGACAGTGACCAGCGAGCCGGGGCCCAGGATGGCATGGTCAACTCAGGGCAACTCAGGGCAGCCCTGGCCCTTGGAACCGATCCTTCTGGATCTTGCAGCCCCCACCCTATTCCCAGGCTGCCTGCTCTGGGCTCTGCCTCACCTCTGCGCCCTCATCCCTTGCTGCCCCCTGGAGTGTGACCCTCGTTCTGCTGCCCAGGTCACAGGAGGGTCTGACCCATGCGCAGCCCAAACACACCTTGTGGAACAGGGCTGCAAAGACTTCTTGGTGGCTGTTCATGTTGAGGCCATCGCACACACGCTGCAGCTCCTCCTCGTCCTCTGCCTTGGCCTCCTCAAAGGCCTCCAGCTGGATCAGCAGGTCAGCGTCCTCCAGGTCTCTGGGGCAGGAGGGACCGGGGCCAGCTGACCTGCTGCTCCCATCAGCCCTGCTTCCCCAGGAACGCGAGACAGGGTGGCCCAGGGCCCCGCTGCACATCTGTTCCTGCTCTGCTGACCCGAGGACACTGAGCAAGTCTCCTGGACATCCCTGTGTCTGACATGTGGCCACGGCAGCCAGGGGTAGCAGGTTGAGAGGTGGGCTCAGGTTTGAGCCTCGCCACCTGCTGGGCTGCCCACCTGGGCATCTCCACACCCCTCATAAACGAAGCTCACGTTCTCCTGAGGGCTAAGTGCAGGGTAGAGCCAGGACTTCCTCCGGAGGATGGGAGGGTGTGGTCAAGAGCACACCTGAGGCAGGTCCACCAGGCCTACCTGGGAGCAGGGGGCGGGGCTTCTGGCCCCAGCAGGAGGGCCTGAGTGTTCATTGGGCTCAGGCATTGCCAGTCAGCTCAGCCTGGCCCATGAGCAAAGCCCTCAGCAGGCAAGGCCAGCCCCTACCCCCACCCCCAAATTGGCCTGCCATCCACTCAGCAGACCTTTGCCCAAGGCTAGCTTGACAGAACCAGGCCCTGCTGAGTCCCTCAGGCTGGCTTCCCGGGTGGGAGTCCACCCTAAGTATAGTCCTGAGGTTGAGATGGGGGTTCTCGGCCAGGTGGGTCTGGCAGGGTAGGATTCCGAGTCAGCAACTAGAACACACTTGATCCAGAGGAGGGACGAAAGGCTACCAGCGTGACTCCTGGGGACCCCTGGGCTCGGTCTGAACCACTCGAACGTCTCGCACTGTGTCTGGCTACTCAAGCACCGGGCGCCAGCCTGAGACCCGGCCTCGGGGCAGGCCACTGGGGCTTCTCCTGGAAGCTACCTCTGCCATCTAAGGTCTGTTAGGGCCAGGCTAGGACACCAGGGAAGGTGGGCTCGGTCTGGGGAGCAGAGGGGTGGCCAGCAGGACCAGCCACAGCAGGGACTCACCGCAGTCGGGTCAGAATGTCCAGAAGCTGCAGCCCTGGAAAGGGATGGGGGGGGGCAGAGGGTTCAGAGGCTGCCTCTGTCCCCCGGGTCTCCTGCCTCGTATCTGAGTCTTTTACCATCACGGCCCATTCAGCCCACTGCACACGTCACCCGGCTCACAGGACATCAGGGTCCTGAGGCTCCAGAGGTGGGTAACATGTTGGCTACACCATGGTACTCCTTCAGTGGTCACTGCCAGAGTGGGCAGGACTGCAATTAGGGACCAGACTACCCTTCTCCTTCTGCTGCCCAACCAGCCTCTAAACGGAGACGGATGTCCAGTTCTGAGGCCTGTGGCCACTAAAGGCACAGTGGTGGCAGGAGACTCCCCTACCCTGGAACAGTGCCCTTGCCCAGCTCCTGGGGGTTGGGGCAGGTCTTGCTGTAATCCCACCTCCCCAAGGGGTGGCCCGGGCTGGGCTGGCCCAGGGGACTCTTGGGAAGAACTGCCAGGTGCCCGGCTAGGAGGAGGGCAGTCAGGAGTCCTGGGCAGCAGAGGGTACCAGGCTGGGTGGCAGTTACCGATGAACTCGCTCCGCAGCTGGGTGCGGGTACGGAGGTCCTCGGGGCCAAGGATGACAGCGTTGACCACGCTGAGCAGGGTGACCACGTAGGGCACATTGTCACTGTCAGAGAGCTCGTTCATGATGACACTGAAGCGGTACTGCTGGCTGCACACCGTCTGCAGGGAGGGTGGGGTCAGTGTGCTCTGGGGCGGTCCTGCGCCCAGCCACAGCCCGGCACTCACCTTGTAGTGGTCCAGGGCATCGAGGGTCAGTGCGTGGCCCTCGGGCGAGTAGATGCACAGGGCGGCCAGCAGCTCAAACACCTGCTTCTTGACCATCACATTGGATGTGTCCAGGGCTGCAGATGGGGGTGTCTCATGGGTCCCCTATCCACCCTCCCTGGCCAGCCTTGCTCAGGGCACTGCCTGCCAGGGGGAATTCCCTCCAGGCCTGGCACATAGACACCAGGGGGCGCTGTGTGCTCACCCGTGCCCACAGTAGGTGCTGGCACAGGGCCCTGCCTGCCAAGCTGAGCCTGCCTCCCAGACCACCTGGAGGAAGGGGAAGGTGACCCCAGCACTCCCAGGGTCAGATGAGGCTGGACTGGGATGGCCCCTGCCGCTGGCTCTGGGCTCTTTTCCCCGAGCTCAGTACCAGCTGCGTTCCCAGCCGACAGCCTGATGTCTCTTCCCCTGAACCTCTGCCTTCCACCCCATCTCCCGAGCTGGGAAAGCTCCGGAGGGGTCTCTCCTCCGTCCTGCTGAGAACAGGCCACAGGGCTTGACAGGGGCTAGCCGGGCCCAGCCTAGAAGGGGCTGAGGTTGGTGTGGGCCTACGTTGGACAAGCGATGGGTGGCCTCTGGCTTCCTCACCACACAGGCCCCTGCTGTTCCCACTGTCCCTGGAGCCTGAGTGCCACCCTGGAGCAGCACAGCTGGGGGACAGAGGACACAGAGACTGCCATGTGTCTCACAGAGGCCGCAATGAACTCTGGCCACAGCCTGCGGAGACCCCCTGGGGCCAGAACATAAAGCCCTTGGGGCCACAAGGCAGGAAGCAGTAGGCACAAGAGGCCAAGGCCAGGGTCTGCCTGCCAGGAAGGACAAGCCCTCTAGGGGCAGGAGTGGGGACAGCAGGGTGGAGAGCTGTGGAGGGTGCTGAGCGGTGGACAGCAATAGCAGGAGTGGGCCAGACATGGGGCTGCGATGGCTAAGGTCCAAAGGCTTGGAGCCAGGTGGAGCATATGTGGGGGCCACTCAGGTGGACATTGTGAGAACCAGGGCCTGAAGCCAGGGGTGGAGCCAGCACAGGGCTGATGGAGTCACAGGGCGGAGGGAGAACGGGGACAACCCCGCACGAGTGGTGGAGGGAGAGAGGCGGCCTGCAGGCCCAACTTCCTACTGCCCCAGGGCCCCAGGCCTGCCCTGTGCTTGGCAGCCAGGGGCTGCGCCCACGTCACCTGGGCAGGACTGGCTCACCCTGGGACAGCTGGCGCACGTAGCCCTGGTTGCTGAGGATGTACTCGATGCCCTGCTGCGAGTTCATGACGGCACGCACGCAGCTGACGCAGGTGAGCTGCAGCAGGGCGTCCGCGATGCGAGCCACGCCACGGCCCGACAGCCGGGCCAGCGCCTCCAGCAGCAGGTCCAGGCCGCTCTGCTCCAGGAACTGCACCATCCAGCCGCCATCACTGCTCTCCAGGCGCTTGCGCAGGCCTGAGTAGTTGACCACGGAGGGCATCTGGAGCAGCCGGATGCAGAGCTCAGGGTCGGCACTCTCCAGGTTGGCCTCCGTGGGGTCCGAGTCCTGCGGCCCCAGCTTCTCCTTCAGCGCTGCCCACTTGCGCTGTGCTCCCTCCTTCACCGACATCTTGCCAAACTGCAGGGTCCAAGAGGGATAGGGCCGTCAGCTCAGCCAGAGGGGAGGCCAGGGCCCAGCTGTCACCATGGCATGGGGATGCCACTTTCCGCTGCCTCAGTTTCCCCTCATGCTTCCAGCTCCAGCCCTGCGGAGCTGGGAAGGCCTCAGCGAGGGCTCCCCTGGGCCTGCACCGGCAGCGAGTCCCCCCGTTCCCACGAGGACCTGAGGCTCAGAGCAGGGTCAGAGGACCTGCCGTCCCTGCAGAACTTGGATCCTGATGGGCTGCAGTGGCCACGCTGGCTGGAACAGCACTGGGCAGTGGCATTGACACAACAAAGCGCCCTCTTCTTTCTGGGTGCTTCCCAGGCCGCCCACAGCTTTGGCAGCAGGGCTGGGAGGAGGGGCGGGTCACGGGGCTCCAGTTGCCCCCAGCGGGCAGCAGCCCCGCCAGGCCAGTCTCCCCGGGCCTGGCTGCCTCTGGTGGGTGGAGGGCGCACCAGTGAGGAGCGGACGCTGGGCACATGGGGTGCACCTGGTCAGGGGCGACACGCTGACTGCAGCCCAGACCTGTCCCCAAAGCAGAACACCCTGCTCTCACCTCCACCCACCCCTGGCCCTGCCTGGGTCCAGCTGGCTGTGATGCCATCCCCACCGTAGTCCCCAGAGACTGGCCTCAAAGGTCAGGGGCATCCCAGGCCCTCATGCAACCATGTATGGCTGGATCTTATATTTAGCCCCTGAGAACCAGAGTGTGGTGCAGGGAGTGGGGGGCAGGGTTTGGTGGAACACGGCCCCAGGGCTTCAGACCCCTCCAAAGTCCCAGGCTCTCCCCGCACCCTCCACCTGAGCCCAGCTGTGCCCACTCCCATGGCAGGCATTTACCCTGGACAGGTTTGGGTGGGGAAAACAAGGCAGCCCCTGGGAGGCAGGGTCACATGCCCACGGCCCCACACCTGGTGACCCTGGAGTCTGCTGAATGTCCAGTGCAGCCTCGCATCAAGTACTCCCTCACCCAGGAAACTAGAGGGGAGACCCCAGGCCACAAGGACCACCCAGGAGACCGTGGCCACACTGGAGGAGTAAGCCGAGGGAGGCTCTGGGTCCCAGTGCCTGCCCTCACCCTGGGGCCCTGCTGGGCTTTGCCCTGGTGAGCATCTTGGAGCACTCAGCCTGCCTAGTCCCTATCTCTTGCTTATCCACCTGCCCTGCAGGGCCCATGGGCCCCCTCTGGCAGGAACCTGGTGTGGACAAGAGGGCTGTCTTATGCATGTGGACCCAGCGCGGGCCATCAGCAGGCCTCCGCTCAGTCATTCTTATCAAAGCCTCAGTTTCCTCATCTGTGTCTTGGACATCGGCTGGCTGGAGCATCCTAGGGGGCTGTGGGTGTGGACACCCCTGGCCTACAGGCAGTGAGGGGGCCGTCTGGGTGGATACCAGCCCCCTCCCCCCCGCCTGGCCCTCAGGCCGTCCTCCCTCCGTCCGTCCACTTACCCAAATGCGCAAAACCTTGCGGCTGCCTCTGCCCACCCATTCCTGTCTCAGGCTTCTCATCACCGTAGACCCCTAAGCTGCAGGATCCCCTCTTCAGGTGGCCTCGGCCCTCGGCCCTCCGGGGCAGCCTCAGGTTCCCAGATCCCTCTGGGTGGCGAGGTGGCCAGGGCTCCAGAGCCAGGAGGAGCAAGACTGCCGGCCTCTGCACATCTCCCTCCACCCTGAGGAGGCTCCCAGAACTGACCCTCCCTTCCCACCCATCCTCTGCTCCATTGGCCAGAGCTGCCGTCCCCTTGGCACAGACTGGGTGGGGCAGAGTGTGAACCCTCCCAGGCCAGGCCTCTGACATCCAGGGTGCCTTCTCCAGCCAGTAGCCCCAGGGGCCCTTGGTGCAGGGGAACTTGATCTTTCAGAGATAGCAGTCACCTAGACCTGACCCACCAGGCTCCAGGCTGTCAGACCAAAGGTCAGGGTGCTCGGGATCCCCCCGGCCCTGGGCACCCACCGTCCTCAGGACTACAGGCTCTCTCTCTATAGACCCCAACTGACAGGAGCCCTCAGGCTGTGGGGCAGCACCTGGGCAGGAGGTTGTGTCCTGGCCCCATGCCCTGTCCTGGGGCTGAGCTGCACGCTGCCCCACTTGGCCCTGTGTGGGGCAGCAGGTTGGGGCAGGGGTCTGCTGGGTGTGGGTCAGCTGGGACAGGGAACTCAGCCAGACACCCAGAGGCAAGGTGAGGGCACTCCTCCCTCTGACACTGGACAAGCTGCCAAATCTCATGGGGGATGGGCCCATTCATAGGGTCAGGCCCTGACCAGGGATGTCCTCCTGGAAACATCCCAGCTCTGCAGGATGCAGCTGGGTACACAAAGGGACCATGGTGACTGATGGACAGAACTCCGACCCACGATTTGTAGCAACCAGCCCAAATGTCAAACAAAACCTGGCAGCAATTGGCCCCAACAGCTGGGACTTGATTAATGATTGACAGTTTCCATAATTTTTGCACCTGCTTCCAACTTAGAACCAACCAGAGGAAGGCAGACCCCTAAGCTGCAGGATCCCCTCTTCAGGTGGCCTCCACCAGCGCATCCCCGAGGCGTCCCTCTTTTCTACAGACAAATCTATAAAGCTCTCTCCCTCCCCTGCCTGCCTTCAGGTCCCTGCCAGGCACAAGAGGTGGCGGCTGACCCCCCACAGATGGTTCCAAATAAGCAGCCTTCACAGGCCCCCACGGGCTGCGCGTGGGCACCGGGGCAGGGGAATCCAGTTTACAGATGTCCCGAGGCCATGTGGAACACTCGGGAAGCCTCCAGAGCTCCTCTTGGGCTTACCAGCCATGTTCCACGTTACCCTGGGCAAGTGACTCTGCCCCTCTGTTCTCCATCTGCAAAGTGGGACGCAGTGGGGTCCGCACAGAGGAACTGGGGTGGGGGCAAAGTGAGAGCTCGGGATTGCTCACGGATGTTGACACAGTCCGCACACACCTGGCCCTTCCCCTCCACCCCTACATGTCCTCAGGCTGAGAGTCAGGGTCCCAGATGGGCCTGGCACAAGCCAGAACCCAGGACTATCTTCAGCTCAGACTCCCCGGGGTGGCAGCGTGGCCTCCCCCGGGGCATAGGAATCTGCATTCCCACAGCTTCCGCAGGGTCCCAGCTCTGCGGGCCTGAACACCTAGGCTCAGCCCCTTGGGACGCTGAAGGTCAGGGCACTGAGAAAGGTCCCCTCTGCCCCCAAAGTCCCCCTCCAGTCAGTGAAACCGCAGTGGGCAGAGCCTCAGGTGCAGTGCTTGAAGCCCTGGGGACTCCAGCTCCACATTGCTGGGGTCACTGTGGTTTTTTTCTACCCACAAGGGTTTCCACTGGGATAGGCCAGGCACAGCACAGACTGTGGATGCCAAAGGCCTGGTCTCCCTCCCTGTGAGGGCCATCCGAGATTTGAGGGCCCACCCTGCCCTCTGGAGGAGAGGTCCAAGAGGCCCCTGGGCCACCTCCCGGGTATGACTCCTGTCTGCCTCCTCTGCCTAGGCCTGGCCAGTCCGGAATGGAGATGCCTGCCTGCCTCCCTCATGCCTGGCCACTGTGCTACTCACGGAAGCCAGGCGGCCACTGCCCCTGCCTGGTAGTCACCTGTCAGGCTGAGCTGGGGCATGCAGAGCAGGACCAATGCTGCCCCCAAGGTCAGACACCACTTACCCAGCCCCTGCTGAGTGGATGGAGAAACAGGCCAGAGAGGAGCGGCTGCCCAGGTGGGCACCAAGCTTTGCACAGTGGCCGGGAGGCCTGCATATTACCCTGGCCTCCAGCAGGCCACCGTGGGGATCTTGGCTGTCTGGGGGATCTGGTGAGCCCTTTAGCCTCTGGGACTCAGCTCCCTCACCCATGCAGCAGGGAAAACCGCAGCCCCGACCTCCAAGGAGTCAACCACAGGCTGCTGCATACGGCACAGGGCAGGGTCCCTGGGTCCCCAGCCCCACCAGGCCTGGAGATCCGTGACAAGTTCCGGTCAGCTCCCCATGAGCAGGCTGGCCCTTGAGCCTGGACACTGGGGAGGTGGGTGCTGCCATCTGTGGCCCATCCCTGCAAGGACTGCCAATCCAAGGGGCTCTGGGGACCTCAATGCAGGGGGTCACGTGAGGCCTGGGAGGGGGGCCTGGGGTGGGGTGGCAGGCCTGAGGGGGCCTGCTGGCACCAGCGTGGGGACTGGCATGCTTCTGGGCCTAGACCCAGCAGAGGCATGGGGAGGGTGAAGGAGGGAGCCTGTCTTCCAGGGGTGGGCGGAGAACATGGCAGGAGCGGGATTCCGGAACTGCAGCAGGGGCTGCCACACTGTATTTTTAGCTCCTCCAAAAGCCCAAATTTTTCCACTGCCTGGCAACCCTCAGCTCTCCATAGCTGCTCGCGTTCCTGGCAGCTCCCTGGAGTTCAGGGGCAGCCCCCAGAGCTGAGTCTGTCCTGCTACGACCCCGACAACTTCCCTCTTAACCATAATCTGGGCTCCCTTGAGCCTGACCCAGCAAGTATAGCACCTTCCCATCAGGCTGCAGGCCCTTGGGGACAGGGCTGACTTGTGGGGTCACCTGCCTTGTGGGTTCAGCCCATGTGGGAGTCCTGTGCACAGCAGGTCTCAGGAAAGGGTGGAGGAGTGTCCACCACTGTCTGCATGTCCACGGCCGTGGATCATATAGGGCCGGAGGTGGCGGTGGCCAGGGAGCAGGCTGGGGCAGTAGGGCCCTGCGGAGCACTGAGGTGCGCAGCCCAGAAAAGGGGGTCCGAGGAGGGGGCGGGCAGAAGGCACTCCTGGCAGTGTTGAATCCAAAGCTAGAATCACAGGAGCAAGAAGCCCTGGGTAGGATTTCACCCACATGCCTGTGACGTGTCCCTGGGACAACTGCTGAATGCCAACAGAAACAGTAAACAGGAAATGCTTGCTGGGGCTCGGTGGGCGATGCCTGGCCTGGGCCCGGGCAGGAGGGTCTGGCACAGGGCTGCCTGTGCTGAGCACTGTGTGTCTGGGACTCTATTAAGGGGCTGGGGTGGTCTCAGAGTCCCCTCCTCCTGAGCTCAGCTCACTAAGCTCGCCTTAGGAGGACAGGAAGGGCGGAGGCCTCCACGCCAGGAAGCTGGGCTTCCATTTCCACCTGCTCTGACACAAAGCAGGGCTAGGGTGCCCTAGACTTGCACTGACACCAGAGGGGTCCCTCTGGGCCTCAGTCTCCCCAGCTGCACAGAGTAGGGCCACTGGGTGTTGGCTTAGGGCCTGGCCCCCTCCAACATTCTGGGAGTTTTGGTATAGAGTCTGGGGCCAGAGAGAGGCGTGGGGTAATGACAAAGACTGTGGCCACCAGTCAGGGACTCTTGGAGTCCAAGGTCCTCACCCTCAGCAGCGCCTTCTGTGCTGGGCCCCATCAGCAATGTGGAGTGCAGGGGCGTGGTTCTTGGGCTCAGATGAGGAAGCCAAGGGACTTGCCAGGCCCTGCAGGCGGCAGTGCTGGGATGACCTTGGGCTGATGTGCCGCAGGCCTGTCCACCTACAGGCGCTGAATGGGTGATGGGGCAGGCAGCCTGAAGGCCCCCGCCTCATCCCAGGATGCCTGCCGGGTCCTCTCCCAAGACTGGTCACTTGTCCCTCCCGGTCTCCCTGATGCTCCCCAGGGAGGGACGGCCGGCTTCAGGACTGGGGTTCTGACTGCTGAGTGCTCCTCTGCGCCTCGCAATGTCCGGTCCTGAGCCTGTGCTCCACAAGCCCCCACAGATGTCCCAGAACCAGGCCACCCCCCAGGAGCAGGGAGAACAAAGGCAGCCTGGGAGCGGGAGGGGCCCGGCCTACAGCCCCCAGCATGAGGGCAGCTGCCAGGGAAGGCACTCAGCTCCGATTCCAGGCGCAAAGGGGCCTACAGCTGGGCACAGGTGCCTTGGACGGCCCACTGGACTCCCGTTCCCGTCTTCCACATAGGAGCATGTCAGCCACTTCTGGACTGGAGCTGCAGCAAAGGGCTGTGCTCCCACTGCCCACACCCAAAGACCTGGCCAGCTCGACAACCAGGAGTCAGCTGGGACAGTGCTTTAGTCCCCCAGGCTCCTGCCCCTCCACAGCCAGCACCAGGGGACCTGTCGGAACTGACTGGGTGAGTGAGATCCTTGGCATGGGTGTGGCATGCCTGTTGGCATCCTGGGGAAGTGTCAGTGCCAGGGCCTTCAGGAAAGCCAGCCGATTCTGTACTCAGTTTTCTCGTCTGTAAAATGGGCAGGGTGTTCTCCAGGGGCCTGTGGCTCCTGTCCTCAGCTGGCTCGGCCAGCACTGCCCGCAGTGCCCACCCCTCACCCCTCAGAGGCATCCTCCTGGGCCCCAGCAGCCCCTGCTCTCCTGCCTGGGCCCTTTGAGCTTGGGGTCCCCCAGGAATCTTGCTCTCAAGCCACTCACATCTGTGCACACAGGAGGCAGATAGGCGGGGACAGGCAGCGCCTGGGCCAGTGAAGAGCAGCCTGCCCCCTGCTGCTGGGCGCAGGCGGCAGTGCCAAGCTGTACTTGGAGCAGAACGGGGACAACAGGCACGTGGAAGGTGGGGGAGGCAGGCTGCACGCGGAGGCCACAGCCCAGGGCCAGGCACAGACGGGGAGACTGAGGCCATGAAGATGTTCTCATGCAGCCGGAGGCTGACTTCCAGGCCATGTCCAGCACTGGACAAGGACCAAGATCAAGCTCAACATGGAGAAGCCCCTGCTGCACATGCCAGACTGTCTGGGGGAAGCTGTCACCGGGCATGCCCAGCTAGGACACCTGCCAGCTCTCTGACCCACTGTGCTTGGGACCGGTCTCCACACTAGCTCTGATGTTGGGGCTCAGTGGCACCAACTGCGAAATGGAAAGCAGACCCTGCCTCCGGCTCCCCAAGTGTCTTCTGGCTGCCTTCCGTCCATCAAGGGCTCCCTGTTGGGCCCTGGTCAGATCGGCCTCCTGGCAGCCCAGGCCACACACCCTGCCTGGGGAGATGTCTGCCTCCACTGTGAGGCTGGCCAGGGCACCTCCCCAGGGGAGGGGGGCAGCTCTCCAGGCCACCGTCCCCTCCCTTCTCGTGCTGGACCTGGAGTACTCAGAGCAGCTCCGGCTCAGGGAAGGGGCAGTGGAGAGAGCTGTGGTCACGTGCTGGCAGGAGGCCTGCTGCTCAGGATACCTGCCCCAGGACTCTGCAGAGGCCTCTATTACTGGCCAGGGCCCAGCCTGGCCTCCTGGGTGCCAGCACACCAGGGGAGCAAGAAGAAGGGCATAGAGGCTGGCAGAGCCCTGCCTGGCTGTCCACTCCAGACTCTCCCAGTCCCATTCTACCCGCTCTGCTATCCTGCCCACCCCTGCTTCCTGTAGCAGGGTGCAGCTGGGAGAAGCCACAGGGGTTGGGAAGATAGAACAGGAAAGAGGCCATGGCCATTCTGTCCTCAGATAGTGCTGGAGAGGGGCCTTGGCTTCAGTCTTCCCACCAGACCATGACCCCAATGCCTGATAAAGCAGGAGCTCCAGGGCCTGGGGCAGCTGGCACAAGGGCAGATGCCCACAGGGCTTTGTAAGTGTCTCCTGCCAGAAAGGATGCCCCCAAGTCTGTAACCCAGTGGTTCCGCCTCAGTGCTCTCACCCGTGAAATGGGCAGCATTTGAAGTACTTGCACCTCATGGGATAGGCACGAGGGCCAGATGGAGCAGTGGGAATATGGCAGGCCGGTCCACTTCCCTCCACTCTCTCAGCTCACAGACACCGCTCAGGAACCATGAGTGGTCAGAAGACAGGCCAGGCTTGGGCCAGCTCTTCAGGGCTGAGGCAGAGGGGAGACCTGGGCAGCACCCAGCCCTGTTCTTTACTTAATCACTTGAGAAAGGGGCTGTAAGAAAGTTCTTGCAACAGCCCCCGTGGGGGACAGGCCAAGTTGCCCCTGCTTTCCTTGCCTGGCTCATGCACAGCTGGTGGTCAGCTGGAGGTCGCAGGTGCTGGGCAGACGAAGCTGTGAGCGGGTTGGGACTCAGGCTGTCTGAGTACCTGGGGGAAGGAGTCTCCTCACTAAAGTGAGCTGGCAGGGTAGAGGCCTCTAGCAGGAGGCCACATGTTTTGGGCCTGCTTTCACACCAACAGTGACTGGCACTCACCCCGGATACCTCCTTGTCCTTGACACTGGGTATTCCTGAGGGACAGCCCCTCAGAGACTAGCTGTGCTGGCCTCTGCCACCCAGCTCTCCTGGCCTTGTCCACAGAAGTGGGCATGCCCTCCTCAATGCACTGTGTCCACTGGGCCATGTCCACTGTGTCCACTGGGTCCACCTATTCGACTCCTGCTGTATGCAAGACCAAAGCAGGGGAGGGGTCAGGCAGCAGAGTCAGGCCCTATCCCTCCCACCATGGGGTCCTTGACAAGGCACTTCAAAAAGCTGGGGCTTGAGCCTGCTTCAGACAGCACCCACTGCCCACCCAGGGCTGGTGAGCTCCACCTTGCCCAAGCTGCAGAGGATCCCATGTCCTCCTGTGGCCTTCACGACCCTGAAACTTTCCCAACCTGGAAACAACTGCACTTTGATGGCAGGCGGAGTCTACTTCAGGTAGGAGGCTCAGTCCCAGAGCACACAGCCTGTGCAATTAGCTGACAGGCGTCAGCACCCCCACAAAGTGGGGGGGTGACGAGGGTTAACTCTTTGCCCTACCAGTTACCAGGTCCTGGAGAGCAGAGCCCTCCACAGCAGCCTGCTGGGCCGGTTCACGGAGGGAGGGCAGCCCCTCCTGCCCCTCAGTCCTCCTGGAGACTCGCCCTTTGCTTGCCAGGGGGCCTCTGATGGTCTGGAGCTCCAGATCTAGGGGAGGCTGGGAGGCAGACCAGGCAATGGTGTCTGCAGCTCTGGGGGCCAAACTGACTTTTTTAACAGAAAGTTGCTGATGACCTGAGGGGACAAGGGCAGGGTGAAGCCTCAGACTCCATCCCTGCCACCAAAGGCCACAGTGTTCACTTCCTGAAGGCCCTGCCCTGGGCAGCTCCCTGAGCGAGGTTTGCAGGGCAGCAGGGAGGACATCTGTGCCTCAGCTACCGATCCCACTCTTCAGTGTAGATGGGAACTGAGACCCAGAGAGGCAGGGTCCCACCCATGGCATTGCCAGAGCCAGGGACAAGGATGGCAGAAGGGAACTTCCCCACTCCAGCCTGGGTGCAGGCACCCGTGCCACTCCGACTCTGGGTTTGACCAGCTGGGGTGTGGTGCTGCCACTGCGCAGCCTGGAGTCCTGGGTGGCTGGAGGATCAGAAAGACCTGGCTGTGGGACTGTGCTCCCCAGGGTCAGCTGTGGGCTGGGTTGGGGCAGTGCACAGGCCTCACTCCCAAAGTCATGGTCACTCCTGGGATCCCTGCCTAGGAAGAGGAGCATAAAAACACTCCCACCCCCAACAATCTCAACTGTGAAGCGGCACACTCCCCAAGGCCAGGCCCTGGTGTGCTCGGGCCGGGCAGCACCCACCAGCGCAAGCACCGGCAGCTAGAAACCTAGCAGTCAGGGCGCGGCCGCGGACCCGCCCACGCCTGGGGTGCCACCGGGGCAGGGGACCGGAGTTAAAGTTTATTCTCTCAACTGTGGCTGATTCACGGTCAGGATGTGGCAGCCGCGAGGCGGGAACTGCTTGCCCCAGGGAGGCCCAGCGGATCGTGGCCCGCCACCCGCCGGTGGTTTGCGCTCTGGCCGCACTTCTGCGCCGGCCGCAGACCAGGGCGGGGCGCGCGGAAGAGCGAGGCCAGGGGCGCCAAGTCCCCACCCCGGGAACTGGTCCCCCGCCGCCCCGCGGGCCCGCGCCATCACTCAGGGCGCACCCGCCGGGGCTCGGAGTCCCCTTCCAAGCGTGCAGCGCCCCCGCCTCCTCCCGGACTCAGTTTACCCTGGGGTCCTGGCCGGCCCGGGGGCTGCGGACTTACCGGGTGGGGGGGGCGCCGGCGGGGCGGTGGCGCGGCCAGCGCTGGGTCCCGGCGGGTCGGGGGCCGCGGGCAGTCGGCCCCACTGCGGAGCTCCGCACAGTCAGACCCGGCTAGCGAGGGCTCGGGCGGGGCCCGACGGAGGAAAGGGAGGCGCCGCCCCGCCCGCCAGCGGCCACGTGGGGGGCGGGCTGGGGTGGGGTCGCCGGGGAGGCCCCGCCCGCTGCGACCGAGGAGGGAGCTTGCAGGGGTCTCCCCGCGCGCCCAAGAGAACGCCCTAGTGGGGCCGCTTTTCCACCCTGCCAGCCTAGCCTGGGTGGGCGCAGACCCGGGTAGGAGACCGCGGGAATTCGTCCCTCCAGTCGGAGCTCACTGTCAGCTGCCTGCCCCTTCCCCCGCGACTCCCCCGCCCTCCTAGGATCCTCAAGGTCCACTCCCACGGATAGCCCTAACTCTGGCGAGCCCACCCCACGGAGGCAGAGGGACGGGATTCCTTGGCGCTCTCCCTCTGGGTAAAGGAGAGCCTTGTCAAACCTGCGTCCAGAGGTAGCTCCCCTCTGGGAATGGACAGCATACCCCCCCCCCCCGTTCTGTGAGAACCTCCTCGGGTACTCCAGGTGACCTCAGACTGGGCTGTGACTCTGCTGAGCCTCAGTTTTCCCAGCTGTAAAGTGGTACCTCCACAGTAGCATGAGGGTGGATGGGGACCGTGGTTGAGGGTTACCCCTCACCTGGCCTTGACTCTCCACTGTGAGCCGACTGCGCAGCCCAGGGGCAGAGAAGGCTCTTCAGACTTGGGTCCAGCTGGCTTCCCAACCTTGCAGCCGATGGCATGCCCTCTGGGTGCTCCCCATACTCCCCCATCCTTCCTGGTCTCTGAATGTCTACTCCTGGAGCAGATTCACTCCCCGTCCCAGCAGCCTCAGCCCTGAAAATCTCCCTGGCTCAGCCCCAGTACAGAAGCAGCCTGTCTGCCGGCCACTGCCCAGGGAGAGCCCTGAGTGCCCCATGAGCCCAGGGGAGCCACCAGGGCCAGCACTGACTGGCTCATCTCTGTGCAGGGACTCAGCCATTCTTGGAATGCATGAGTCCTTGCGGAGGCCTTAGCTTCTGCCCACCACCCCCCAGCTAGGGTTCTGGCCTCCATGTCTCCTGGGCCCCAGCAGTGTCCTGGTGTGGTCCCACCTGGGGGCAGGGAGGCTAGGACCTCGGCGGTGGCCTGGCCTTGGACCAGCGGGGGGAGGGGCAGGCTAGTTGACTCATGTCCAGTGCTGGCGCCAGGCTGCAGTGCTCTGTCAGTGGGTGTGTTTGTTGACCCGGAGGAGGAATGTGGCCTTTAGCCACAGTCCAGGCGTAGGAGAGAAACTGGCCACCTTTCCAGGATCTTCTGTAGCAGGCTCAATGTGAGGACCCTACCCTGGTGGGGAAGGATTGGGCCCACTTCCCCAGGGCAGCTCTGCCAAGGGCTTGCTTCCCTGATCCTGCCTGCGGGTGGCTAGGCCCAGGGACCCAGGGTTGGGCCAGGCCCCCCTAGGCCAGAGCAGGGTGAAGAAGGCAGGGTGAGTTGGGGTCAACAGGGGAGACTGAGGAAGTTCCTAGGGTTGGCTGAGCAGGAAGTCCCTGTGTGGTATCTGTATATTGTGAGTAGTGGGCAGCTGGGGTCAGGGGTCAGAGACCTTGGCAGAGTGTGGGTAAGGACTGTAGAACCAGAGGATCCTTTTTCTTGGACTTTGGGCCTGGACTGACATGTCCAGGGCTGTGGAGTCAGCTTCTGGGGCTCTACCTACCTTGATCACTGATTTTCTGAGACATTCAAGGGCCTTCCCATTTCTTCCAGTGGCTCAACCGTAACCTCTGCACCTTGGGTACCTCCCAGCCCCATCCTGAGCTGCTCCCTATCCCTGAGGTTGACACGAGGACCAGTGTGGACTCAGAAGTTTTACCCGGGTGAGGTAGTGCACGCCTATAATCCCAGCTACTTGGGAGGCTGAGGCAGGAGGATTCCAAGTTTGAGGCCTGTGTACCCTAACAAGACCCTGTATCGAAATAAAAACAATTCAAAAAAGGGCTGGGGCTATAACTTGGTGTCAGAGCACGCTGGGTCCAATCCCCAGGAAAGAGAGAGAGAGAGAGAGAGAGGGGAGGAGGAGGGAGGGAGACATTTGCTCCTGCAGCCACTGCCCAGCATATTGGGCTCCACCTGACTTCAGGAAGTTCCTTCTGAAAGCCATGTCTATGAGCAGCTCCCCCACCTGGGGCCTGGTGCCGTCCTCAGAGCTGGAAGTATACACATGCCTGCCCACAGCTCTGGACATCAGATCCCAAAGATGTGCAGGTAGACACAGCCCAACACCCAGGAGCTGCCCATACCCCAGCAAGGCCACATGCCTGCCCACGCAGAGGACATGGGGGTGGTCCTGCCACTGCGCCTGCAGGCAGCTTCCCCCGCCTCTTACTGGGAAGCAGAATCTGAGACAGGGACGAGGGGGAGAGGCCCGAGGGCTGCAGATTGAGCCACCAGAAAGAGGCAGGCAGGCGTGGGCACTCCCCGAGAGGAACCTTCCTCCCGAGTGCCACCTGTGCAAAGCTGGAAGACCCGAGTGCTACAGGTGGCTGTCCACAGGCCAGAGCGCCACCGGGACCACTCGGACCCCAGCAACAGCCTGGCGGGGGTTTCGTTTCCTTTGTCAGCTTGGCTCCCTGATGCTTTCCTCAGTCTTCCTTTTCAAATCTCTCGTTCTGCCTGGCGCCGGTGCCCTGAGATGACCTCTGGTTTGGTACACAGCGAGGTCACTAAAAACACCTCCACCCACCCCTCATCACCCAAGCCCACCTCCCCATCTACTTGTCCCCCATCCACCCACGGCACCTTGGTGGCCTGCTGGCATGGACAGGACCAGAGAGGTGACTGCAGGCTCTGCCTGGGCTTCCCTGCACCTCCCCTCCCCTCTGCACCCCACCTCCCTCTGCATCCCACCTCCCTCTGCATCCTGCCCAGGGGCTCAGCAGCCAAGGCAGCTTCTCAGTACCTCCCCCTTTCTCCTGTACTCCATTGACCCACAGAGCAGCTGAGTGTCCGGCTGCAGGAGGCTGATCTCAGGTGGACCTTGCTCAGGGTCATCCACGGTCTGGGGAAGGGGAGGCAGAAGCTGGACCACGCAGCTGCTCTTAGAAGGAACAGTCAGTCCCTTAGCTGTCAGTCAAGGCTCGGCTCAGTCAGGAGCCTCTGTACTCCTCGTTTGAATGTCACCCACACAGAGAGCAGCATCTCATACCTGCAAGTTCTGTATTTGTGAATTTGCCTACCTAATTTATCTGTAACCCTAAGATCAAGTACCTGAGTTTTGCCATCATCCGTGGAGGCTAGAGCCCCCGCTGCGCAGGTGCTCCTGGGGCCCAGCCAGGCCGCTCTCTGCTCTGCCCTGCACTCACCCTGTATGAAGGGCCCTCTCTTGGTCTAGTTAGTGCCTTTAAAAACAAACAAACATATATATATATATATATATATATATATATATATAGATAGATAGATAGATAGATATAGATAGATATAGATATATATATATGTATATATCTGTGCTTTTTCTTGGTGACTTTGCTTTTCAAGTGGCCCCAGGCACAGTGCGGAGGTGCTGCCTGGCGTTCCCAAGCACAGACAGGCTGTGCTGTGACTCATGGAGAACACGCGTGTGCTGGGCTAGGTCGGGGCATGAGCTCGGTTTTTATGGTGATGACACACATGTGCGTTAGGCGTCTGCAGCTGGGACACATAAAACAAGGGGACTGTGCTTGATTGGAGGAGGAACCTCATAATCAGAGGCTCCCAGAAGCCTACCCTGGGAGCAATGGCTCCATCGGTGCCGAGTCAGGGACTCTAGGGACCACAACTGCAGTGAGGACGAGAGTCGCTGGGCATGTGTTCATTGATGGGCAACTGAGTCTGGGCGCACAGCACAGGAGTTTTCCCTCCTTGTGCACCCGTGGCACTGCCCCAGACGGAGCCATGGCACGCCGCTGGGTGTTTTTCTCACTGTTGGCACCCCAGGGCCACTTCTCCTCTCCCCTGTGCACCGCCCGGCCCCTTCCTGGCTGTGGAAGCGTGCCTGTGGCTGGCCTCTGCTCCATGCGGGGCCGAGAGCCATCCTGCTGCGCTGCGTGCAGCTCATCCTTTCCCATGGCTGCTGCTGCCCATGGAGCACACTGGACTGCTGCTGGCCGTGTGGGCGGGTGCAGTCCAGCCGTAGGGCCTGTGCATCTGGATGTGTCCCGCAGGGAGACTCTGGTTCTCCCTCTGAAACAACCAACAGGGCTCCAGGGCTGGGCAGGGCCAGGTGTGGCCACCATCTCCTAGCTGCTTCCCCACGTTAGGCCCATGGCTCCTAGGTCTGCAGGCTGGACAGGCAGCAAGGCCTCCCTGCTGAGGAGGTGCAAAGAGAGCAGGGAGCTGGCAGAGCTGGCGGTGTCCCAAGCTCCGGGCCCTCTGTCCAAGGCAGTTAGTGACTGGCCAGGGAGGCAGCCTGCTGACCCCAACCCACCTCTCATGACCCCTGGGTGCCCCTCCCTTTCTGTGGTGGCTTCAGTTGGCTCCTTGAGAGTCTCGGTTCTGCATTGATGGCTTGGTGGGAAGGGGTGAGGATCTGCTTGGCTATGACTGTCCAGGCCAGTCCCTGTCATCTTTTGCCCTAAGGGCTTCCACCAGTGAGGAGTGGGGAGCTGCTGTGCCCGCACCCTGTGCTGGGAATTGGGGGTGGCGCTCGGGTGCATAGGTGGAATGTGTGCTCCTTGGGGACATTGAGCAGAGAGAGGTGCCTGAGTCCCCCAGCCCCAAGGCCCGGTTTCTGCAGGAATGTAGACCTGCTCCTAACCGCCCTGCCAGGTGACTCAGCAGGGTCAGCTGGGAAGCAGGAGCAGAGAGGCTTGGGCAGGACAACCGCAGGGCATTTGGGCTGAGGCATTGGAACCTGCCTGGGGTCCCCCGCGAGGGGTGGAGGACCCGGTTTCATTGCTGGTGATCTTGGCCCCTGGACTGTTTTGTCGACACAGCCAAGGCCAGGCACCAGGCCTCGGAGGGTTCTGGGGAGGCGGTTGCAGTGC